AAGGAATGATAGTTTTTCGATCGACTGAAGGTGCCCATAGGCGGACTCTCGCGGACTATTGGCAGGTTGATTCAACATTTCTACGCATGAGCTGTTTCACACAATGCGTATTTTTGAGTTAATGGTTTTTGTTTTTTTTAATCCACACTGTCAGCTGGATCTCCTATAAATAACGTTGGGATGATTACATCTGTAATATTTACCCTGTAATCATTGACTGTTTTTTTTTGTCTGTTGTGGGGTAAGGATGTTTATACTGATGGGGGGACGTGGGCATTCGAGAGTTTTTGGGGTGGGGCGCCTGTTGCTTTTGGGTTGGTGACAATTTTTAGCGAATGGATCGTTAATTTTTTGGTGATTTTTCACGTCGGCTAGTATTTTGGGTCAGTTTTTTTGAGTCTTTTGGAGTGATTGAATTGTCAGCTGTAGTTTCTAGGGAAAATTCTTGAAATGAGGACTGATCGCTCCGCTCGTCAACCCCCATATGATCCAAATATGATCCTCATCTGACCCCCATGACCCTTCTTTGGACCCTTAATCTGACCCTTGCAACCCTTATTTGAATCCTTAATCTGACCCTTGTTATAATCCTCGTGATTCTTATTTTGACCTTGATGACCTTTAGTTTCTAACACTTGGTTTTTTACCCCCATGACCCTATTGAGACCCTTTAGACCCTCAATCTGATCCTTGTGACCCTTATTGACTCTTAATCTGACCCTTGATACTCTTATTTGGACACAATCTAGCCCTTAGTCTTGTGACCCTTAACCTGACCCATAACCCTTATTCTGATCTTTATAACCCTGTTTTGAACCTTGTGACTCTTAATTTTGAAATCTTGATTACGAGTATCAAATTTTGGTCACCAGAAGTCGATTTGAATTTTTATAATATAAAGAGAAAACTGATTTATGACATTTTTATTAATTCCCTTTTGTTTCGAAGTGTGGAGTACGCTCGATACAAATAAAATGTAATGACTTCTCATCAACGGAAAATTATGAAACCAATATGTAATTGAAGTTACAGTATTCCTTTCTTCGTTGTTATTTATTTGGTTGAGTTAAATTCCATAGTTTTGGAAATAATCAATTTTAAAGAAAGTCATTCAAATTTTCATGAATATCCGTGAGGGGTTAATCAGTCAATTTTCTGAGATTTCAATGGAAACCCCAATTCCATTTGATAACACTTCATGTAAGGATGTTTGATTTTCAAAATTACTTCTAAAATGAAAAAAATTCCCAAAACATTCAGAAAGACTGATTCAGGGTAAACTCCACTGAATTTTCCATTAAAAAATCCGTCAATTTCACAAAAATTCACTGAAAATTAAGCATTAAATCTAATAAAACCCTAAGAACTCTATAAGGATTAAGGATTCTATGACCACTGTCTAAATGCCTCAGTCCACCTGAAATTCCACTCAAATCGATATTCAATCTTCCGAATGACCTCCAGTGGTCGTCTGTCCCATCCACTGTCACAAAATTCAAAACCAAACCCAAATATTCCCAAATTCCAACACATCACGAATCCATCAACGAACTTCGAGTCCTCAATGCCACCATCCCCACCCCTCCAATTCCACACATGCCCGCCAATCCCCCTCCTCCCGCCGAAACCGATCTCCAGTCTCCCCTTCCCAAAAAAAATCGATTTCCCTCCCCCAAAAAGCCCTCACCGCCAAAAAACCATATAAACATCCTTACTCCCCTCGTCTCAAGTGTAATCACATTAAAAAGTTCACATCCACAGAAAATAAAAAAATTGAAAGATCAAGGAAAAAAAAATCAATAATTGATGTCCAAAAACATGGAAAAACAATAGCAATGATTAATCCTCATGATTAATAAAATCGAGTAAAACGATGAATTTACCTGCGTTTGCGTCCGCCCCTGTGCCTGGGACAGTCCCTGGCATAGTGGCCACGCTCACCACACTCGTAGCATCGATCCTCAGGATGGAAGGGTCTACCACCAGCTCCACCACGTCTGGAGCCACCCCCACGATCCCTCAGACGTTTTCCATTGGAATGCTCGACCCTAGCCCTCCTTCCGCATATTGTTCTGCCATCCAAACCCCTGACGGCGTCATCGGCGTCACGCGCGTCCTCAAACTCGACGAATGCAAAACCCGGTGGATTCCTAGCCACCCAAACATTTCTCAGAGGTCCGTAGTATGAAAAAGCATCCTCAAGGTCTTGCTTTGTTGCACTGCTGCCGAGATCTCCGACATAGATCTTACAATCGGACGGATAGCGTGACATCTGCAAGGAGAGAGCGAGAGAAAAAATTATTTTTTCCCCCGACTTTTATCAGTAAAAATCAAGGCGGATAACCACGCCGCAATGACCAGAACGCTTCACTCACCGTACTCATGTTTTATCGAAGTGAAAAGTTGTTAAAATCCTCTCCACATTCGTTGAAATGCACCACTGCAGCTCCCACGCAGTGAGAGATAAAATTCCCTCAATTTTCACGGTTTATTTCGGTAAAATCAATGCGTGCCTTGTGTTCCGACCGAGACTCCTCCACAAAATGGTGGTCATCGGCTTCGGGTGTTTATTGAGTTGTGGCGAATAATAATTTCAACCGCCAGTTGGCGTTAGGTCCGTCTCTCATTGGCTATCAACTCGTAATTTCCCCGATTCTGACCAATGGGAGGACGGGTTAGAGAAGTTATTTCGCAACTTTGAGAGCTGATGAGCGCTTCTTGATGAGACACGGATGGCTTTCATGTTGTTTCAATCGGAGACGATTTTAATTGGGGTAAATTGAAAGATTTGTTTCTTTGGGAATATTGAGGGAACACGTGTGGAAAAATTGTTTGTAGCTAGAGAACATGAAGGGCCGTGAAGGCATTTTATATTGAAATGTATCGTAATCACGTCAAAACCACGTGACGGCTTATCCTCAATTCTGATTGGTCAATGGTCGTGTGAAGTTAGTGGTTGAAGACACGAGGCATTTTCGAATTCTTCAAATACAGAAATTATTCTTTGCGTCGTAATTGTGAACGGGGAAAATGCATGATTTTTTTTCAATTTTCTAATCTCAAGTTTGGGACCTGAACAATTGGGCATGAAGGTCAATTCTTTCTAATTTCCTCATTCACACATTCCTCGTAACATATGGTTAGCTAAACGGCAAAAATTGTGGAGAAATATTGCCTCGATGTTTCATGATCCTATATTAAAATTTAATTGAAAATCAGTCTTTTTAAAGGCGAATTTTTAGGTCATGACGTCAGGCAAACGGTCAGGTAATGCTTCATTGGTCGAAAAAAAAGAGAGAAGGGAGTTGTCATCTTCCATTGGCCAAGGCGCACCTCAAGATTGGGTTAGGTTGGCTCAAGCCGTTCTGTGATTGGTCCAGCGCTCGACCGTCTGTGTGACGTCATTAGCGATTTCAAAGCGTTTGTGACTGAAAAATGAATTATTCAAGTCCCAAACTTCAGATTAGAAAATGGAAAAAAATTCATGCAAGTTCCCTATTTTTTTGGTAAATAGGTTATCAAAAAAAAAGCTTCTCAAAGGGTTTGAAATCTTCGACTTTTAACAATTAATTATTAATTATTAATTATTAGTAATTATTAATTTGCGGTTAGAGTGCTAGACTCGTATGCCAATGATCCGGGTTCGCTTTCCGGCACCGGCGGTCAAAATTTATAGCGCTCTAATCTCACAGTTTCACTGCCGAGCAGTAGTCCCGTCAAAAGGACGACTGTACCAGGGCAGGTTTTTCCCTCGAATGAGGTTTTCCCTCCCTTCAACAAATGCGGTACAGGGGGTTGAGGGGGGTGGGAAGGGAACAAATCGTAAAGACCCGAAAGGGTATACGAGAAGAAAAAAAAAATTAATTAATGAGCGATATTTCGAACATTTGCGAATGAAAGATGAAATACATGCATAATGACGGTCATAACTCATTTTTAATTTGTGACGGTCATAAATGAAAAAAATTATTTCATCTAGTCGCGATTAGAGATGCAAAATGACCGTCAGTTTTTAGATCGCGTCATATGACCAAAAAATGACGGTCATGTGACGCGCAAATTTTCCAACTACAAACGATTGTCACAAATCATTTGTAACCAAATTGTTGTCAAACCATCGATATAGTTGCATAATGACGATCATAACTAATTTCCAATTTGTGACGGTCATGAATAAAACAAAATAGTTTCATCTATATGGATGGAAAAAAACCTAATTTCAATTTCAAACTGCGGATTAGGCCAATACAAAAGGAATTCAACTGAAAATTGACCGAGAAAAAAATAAAGTTTCATCTATATAGATGAAAAATGACTGTCATTTTTTCTTGACAAGTGTGATGGTCAAAGAAGGGGGAGGGGGAATTGTGTCAATGACGGTCACATGACCGTCATAGAACGGGTCATGAAGAACGGGTCATGAAGAACGAGCGTGATTGTCATTTCGAAGTGCACATGAAGCTAATACGAAATTAATTCAAATAAAAATTTATACAGAAAACATGAAATTGCATCTATATAGGGGAGGTACGTTGGGGTAAAACGGCCACTTTTGGCTTGTTTTTAAATGTTAATGAGGGGTTGAAATGATGAAATTTAATAATTTTTTTTTCAATACAACAATTTTTTCTCTTTGTGACGAGCCTAAACGGAGCTCAATTGATGAATTTATTTCTGAGTTATGAATAATTTTGAAAAAGTCTAAAGTATCAATTTCACCCCACCTGCGCCTAGATGAAAAATGACTGTCATATTTATGAACAGATTGTGACGCCATGGCGGAGGGGGGGGGAAGCATGAAGACGTCATATGCCTCACACGTGAGCGTCAAAGACGGTCACATGACCGTCATATGACGGGTCATGTGACGCATTGGCATCTCTAATTGCAGATCGTATGGCTTTTCATCTTCTCTAGTTATCTATTTATCTCAGTACAGATATTAATGAGATGTGAGTTCCCCCGCTCGAGTACTCCAGTTGTAGGTTATGATCCACTGGGGTGATGACACGGGTATAGAACAAGGTTAAAACATTTCCACTGACGTACAATCGTCGCAATATTCCGCAATAAACAAAAAAATGCTGAAAGTTACGTCGCCCAATCTGTCAATTGACACCAGTATTCACCCTGCATTGAGCCCTCAAAAGTGATCAAAACAAATCCCCTAGGATATTTCAGAAGAGAACATGAAGAATCCCCGCACTTTAAACTAACAAATATCTCAATCAGTTCACTCGCTCGTAAAATGCACGAACCTCTGCTGTTTTGCACGGACCGTCAGCCAGTAAATATCAGGTTAGAAGAGGTCTCAGTCATTACCAAAGCCCCATCATCATGATCCAGAGCCTCTGAATCCCGCGAACAGCCAACGATCTGACATCTGGAAACCCCCGAGACAATAGTATGAACCTGCAATGGCACCTTCTTCTGGTATTTCTCGTCTCTACGATAATCCCCACCTCCCAGGATCATCATCATGACACATCGAGCCTTTGCAACTCCACCACAGGTGTCCCATCGACCCTGAAAATTCAGTTTACCTCGAAAATAGTCGAGAACGAGTACATTGTGGCATTCAAGGGCTACTACAAGCGAACTACTCGTCAGAGTTATATTGGAGCTGCTCTCAACTCGTCTGGGATCAGCAACTGGAGGATTTTATCGAGGGAGAATCCAGCGAGCGATTATCCGAGTGACTTTGACGTGGTACTGCTGGAGGAAAATGATAAGCAGAATGGATTGACTGCTCTGAGTGATCATCCCTTGGTGAGGAGGGTGACACCTCAGAGGCTGGTCCAGAGGACTTTGAAGTACGTTAAGAGCAGTGAGGATGGCCCAGAGGGGGCTCAGGGTTCAGATGCAGCTCAGGATGACCCAGAGGCAGCCGAGGATGGGCCAGAGACAGCTCAGGATGGCCCAGACACCCCTGAATACCAGAATTTCAAAAGAAAGATCTCGAGCTTCAACTCCAATCAATTCTCCTTCCAAGGGAAATCAGCCAGTCGTCATTCCTCGAGGAGATTGTTGAGAGCTATACCCAGACAAATTACGACTATTCTTCAGGCTGATGCCCTCTGGGGCATGGGGGTGACTGGTCGAGGGGTCAAGGTCGCGGTGTTCGACACAGGATTGGCTGCGAGTCACCCGCACTTCAAGAAGATCAAGGAGAGGAGCAATTGGACGAATGAGAAGACTTTGGATGATGGGCTCGGGCATGGCACATTTGTGGCTGGGGTCATAGCTTCTGCGTCGAGGGAGTGCCTCGGGTTCGCTCCTGATGCTGAACTACACGTGTTCAGGGTGTTCACTAATAAACAGGTGTCCTACACCTCGTGGTTCTTGGACGCCTTCAACTATGCCATTCTTTCGAAGGTATTTTTAGTTTTATTTGGGGGAAGAAGAGGCGGGGAGCTGGGATCAATCGTATGAGTGGAATTGTAAAGATCGGTTGAGTGTGGTTATTTGTGTTAGAAATTTATTTCCATTGGTACATGTGCATTTTTCATTAATTAATCGAATGGGAATTGAGAATATATCAGATGTCAAGTTTTTATTCAGTAAAGATTGAAACATGAGAATTTAAGATTCAGTTGTGAGAGTAATTCCACGTATGATGAAATTTAATAGAAAAATGTAGCGTTTGGTCTGAGGAATTTTATTGAATTTCTAGTAAAAATTCAATTGGAGTTTTGTTAATTCTATTGGATTTACCTTGAAATTTTATTGAATAATTCTGTTGTTTTTTTTCGCCGGTTGTGTTGAAGATTATGCAAGATTATGAAACAGACATTCTTGAGCGTTCCTCGTGATAAGATGCGAGATGAAACACGTATAAAGTTCATGCCCGAGAATTCTTATAAAAATACGTGGCTGATTGCACAGGTCTAAACCAAGTATTGTTTCTTTGATAAAAATTAGCAATTTGCTTTCGAATGGACTAATCGAATTAAAAGTAAAAAGTGTATATTCGGTTTTCTGTCATTAATTTCAGATTAGTTGGGATCCTTCCTGAAGTTTAATCTCAGGAAAATTCAATAGTTTTTTTTTAAAGACAATTTGCGATAAAATTTTTTAGTGAACTGAATTTATTTAAAATTAGACAGATTGAGTGAAAACAAAATGAATGTAAAATTTGATATCACGAGAGTTGATGCTCCTGATACATCAATGTTGATGTCTCCTCGGTCGTAAGTAAATTATTTCAATTGAATTTTTCTCCTGAATAGTTTTCTTTAAAATGAACTTGAGACCGGTATAACTTTTTTGCTAATGAATTAGCAATTTGCTTCTGAATGGTAAATTGGGGAAGAAGATATACCAGCCATGAAACCTTAATATGATCCCTAAATATCCCAAATGTCTAACATGACCTCTATATGCCCTAGGTAAACAACTAACAGACGACGACTAAATTAAAATTAAACTAGTTTAAACTTCCACTGAACATTGATTAAACCTTGACGAAACCTTGGTTAAACCCTGATTAACCTCCGATTAAATCCCAACTAAACCCTGAATAAACTCCGACTAAATTCTGACTAAACCATGATTAAACCTGGATTAAATGCTTTTTAAAGCTATAATTTCAAAGCAAATGATGCGATCGCCACTATCTTCGACCTCGATCGAGATAACATCCAAACGAATATTTTAAGCGTTAATTGAAAAGATTTCGACCATTATTTTTTGAATGATTGTCGATAAACTAAATTTTAAAAAAATGCTCACATACATACATACATACGGACATGATCTAAAAACAGCATGTTCGAACTCCTGAGGCCAAAATTAGCCATCGTCACAGATAAAAAAGGAAATTTCAAATTTGACGGATACAATGTTTCTATTCGGAAGAAAAAAAAACAGAATTAGTTATAGAGAATAATCAACATCTATAAAGTTTATTATATAAAAACAATATCAATTTCAACAGAATTGGCACAACAAAAAAATAGAAATTTCCAACACAATACCTTAGAAAAAAATCCCATCGGGCTCATTCCTCCAGCAAAGGTATTTTAGGATTCCTTCCTGGAGGATTTCTAAATTTGAATGTTGAAAACATTCAAGGTGACTGTTCTCAATCTGAGCATCGGCGGGCCTGATTTTATGGACCATCCCTTCGTGGATAAGGTCTGGGAGCTGACGGCTAATGGGGTGATCATGGTTTCGGCGATTGGCAACGATGGGCCACTCTATGGGACGCATAACAATCCTGCTGATCAGATGGATGTCATCGGTGTGGGGGGAATTAACTGGGACGATCAGATTGCGAGCTTCTCGTCTCGTGGGATGACTACTTGGGAGCTGCCCCATGGGTATGGGAGGGTCAAGCCAGATTTGGTGACTTATGGCTCCGGGGTGAGGGGCTCGGCGTTGAAACACGGGTGCAGACCGCTGTCGGGTATGTGATTTTGTGATTCTTTCAGGGAAATACTTACTATCTAATCATAATCAAATGAAAATTGGATTTTGAAGGTTGTTCGTGAAACCTAGCGCTTTATCTGAGAAATTCTATTTCTATTGAATTTCTAGTGAAACTCTGTAAGAATTCATTTCTATAAGAATCACTTTGTTGAGAGATATTGGTTTGAACAAAGTCAATAGATTTTTATTTCGCTATCGAAATTCTTTGGCGTAAATTTTACTATTTTTTTCCGCTATATTTTTATTTGACAGGAGGAAAAGTATTCAAAATTAGTCCAACCATTTTCATTCATAATTTACAACTCTTTAGCTCTCAGCCATTAACGGTCATCACAGCAATTAATATAATTGATAGGGAAATCTAGCATTTTCACTAAGAAATTTTATTGAATTTTTGTTGGAAGTCCAGAAAAATTCTTTTCTATAAAAATCCTATTGTTGAGAGATATTTGATTGAAAAAAAGTCAATAGATTTTAATTTCCCTATCGACATTCTTTGGCGTCAATTTTACTATTTTTTTCCGCTATATTTTTATTTGACAGGAGGAAAAGTATTCAAAATTAGTCCAACCATTTTCATTCATAATTTACAACCCTTTAGCTCTCAGCCATTAACGGTCATCACAGCAATTAATAAAATTGATAGGGAAATCTAGCGTTTTCTCTAAGAAATTTTATTGAATTTCTGTTGGAAGTCCAGAAAAATTCATTTCTATAAAAATCCTATTGTTGAGAGATATTTGATTAAAAAAAAGTCAATAGATTTTAATTTCCCTATCGAAATTCTTTGGCGTAAATTTTACTATTTTTTCCGCTATATTTTTATTTGATAGGAGGAAAAGTATTCAAAATTAGTCCAACCATTTTCATTCATAATTTACAACTCTTTAGCTCTCAGCCATTAACGGTCATCACAGCAATTATAAAATTTATAGGGAAATCTAGCGTTTTCTCTAAGGAGTTTTATTGAATTTCTGTTGGAAGTCCAGAAAAATTCATTTCTATAAAAATCCTATTGTTGAGAGATATTTGATTAAAAAAAAGTCAATAGATTTTAATTTCCCTATCGAAATTCTTTGGCGTAAATTTTACTATTTTTTTCCGCTATATTTTTATTTGACGGAAGGAAAACTCTTCGAAATGATAGCAATCATGTCCATTCATAATTAAAAACCCCTTGTCTTTCAGGCATTAACGATCAGCCCAGCAATTAAAAAGAATAAAAAAAATTCGATTCAGTAGCGAAATGGTAAAGCGGTTCAAGTCGACTTATCTCCAAGTTGAGTTTTTGAGGAATATTTCCGCATCTAAGGGAGATATCGAAATTTTCGTAATTACATTTGTTATAGCTCTCAATCGGCTCTACAAAAAAGCTTATAACAAAAATTTTGCTATCTCCCTTAGATTCCGAGATATTTATTGAAAACTAGCCACCAGTCTACTTGACTTGAACCATTTTACCATTTTACTACTGAATTCTTTCTCATTTGCCACTCTCGTACCCCAAAGTATCCTCGATCAAGGCATTAATTTATTCTTTAATTTAAGCTACTACTTGTGAAAGAGTTAAAACATGAACTCTGTCAAACCACATAAACCAAAGAAAAGAATAAGAGCTGAAATCTGACAATAAACAATCTGTGAAAGCTCTTCATAATTGTTCTTATGCATTTGCATCAGAACGAAAGGCCTAAAACTTAAAACCCAAAACTTCTCCAGGCACTTCCGTAGCGAGTCCTGTGGTCGCGGGTGCCGTTGCCCTCCTGGCGAGTGGCTTCGTGGGCAAATCCCCCCACAGCCACGACGAGCACAACGACCCCGACGATCACCCGAGCAAGATCAACGAGAGAATAACCCCCGCGAGTATGAAACAGGCCCTCCTCAGCTCTGCGAAGCGTCTCCCAGGGGTCGGAATGTTCGAACAAGGAGCTGGAAAGCTGGATCTTCGTCGGGCGTTCCACTACCTCAGGACGTACGTCCCCGTCGTGACACTGAATCCCAGCTACATCGATCTGACAGAGTGCCAGTACATGTGGCCGTACTGCACTCAAGCTGTCTACCACTCAGGGATGCCCACCATCGTCAACGTGACGATAATAAACGGCCTCGGAGTGTCTGGAAACGTCTCTGAGGTCGTCTGGCACCCGTACGTCAGCTCTGAGAATGGAGATGGGGACAAGATCGAGGTCGCGTTGACCCACAGTGATGTTCTGTGGCCGTGGTCTGGGTGGCTGGCTGTTGCTGTCACCGTTCCAAGCTCAGCAGCGAACTGGCAGGGCATTGCTCAGGGCCACATCACGATCACTGTGGAGTCACCGCCTGGGCATGGGGAGCATGAGCCCAGGAGATCGGTTATTGATTTACCACTGAAGGCGAGGGTCATTCCTACTCCACCCAGACACAAGAGGATCTTGTGGGATCAGTATCATAATTTGAGGTATGCACCCAGGGCAGGGTTGGTCGGTCACTGAAAATCGAAGGTTTCTGCGGTACACAGGAGAATACTGGTAACACAGTGCAATAACTGCAATTTTAGGGAAGAACTACGGAATTTATTATGAATAATTCCCTGTTCCTAATGAAAATAACCCCACCTCATCTGGAAGTATGATTTCCGGTCTTTTTGTTGGTATTTTTTCAGCTCAATCGAGACAAATATTGGTTTCTAATTAAATGTTGAAAAAGACGATTTTGGGGCATTTTCAGGATTTTAACTTTTTTTTCTCAGAAACTAGGGCATTTCGACAGATTTGGCCAACGGATTTAAAATCTGCGTGAAAAATCTTTCAAATGGTGGCAGTCTCATCCCTGTGCCGGAACGAGTTCAAATTTTGAAGGACTGTGTAATTTAACTCTAAATGGTTAACAAGTGGCCCATTGCACAGGTCGAAATCAAGTATAGTTTTTTTGCTGAAAATTAGCAATTCCGAGTGAATTAGTCGGATTAAAACTAAAAAGTGCATATTCGGCTTTCTGTCATTAATTTCAGATTAGTAGGGATTCTTGCTGAAGTTTAACTTCAGGGAAATTCAATAGTTTTTTTTAAGGACAATTTGAGATAAAATTTTTTAGTGAACTGAATTTATTTTAAATTAGACAGATTGAGTGAGCACCAAATGAACGTAAAATTTGATATCACGAGTTCATGCTCATGATACATCAATGTTGATGTCTCGTTGGTCGTAAGTAAATTATTTAAATTTTATTTTTCTCCTGAATAGTTTTCCTTAAACTGGAGTTGAGACCAGTATAACTTTTTTGCTAATGAATTAGCAATTTGCTTCTGAATGGTAAATTAGGGAAGAGGATATACCAGCCATGAAACCTTAATATGATCCTTGAATGTCCCAAATGTCTAACATGAGCTCCATATGACCTGGTTAAATATCTAACAGACACCGACTAAATTAAAATTAAACTGGTTTAAATTTCCACTGAAAATTGATTAAACCTTGAAGAAACCCTGGTTAAATCCTGATTAACCTCCGACTAAATCCCGACTAAATCATGATTAAATCTTAATTAAATGCTATTTAACGCTATAATTTCAAAGCAAATGATGATCGCCACCATCTTCGAACTTGACCGGGATAACATCCAAACGAATATTTTAAGCCATAATTGAAAAGATTTCGAGGATAATTTTTTTAGTGATCGTCGAAAAACCAAATTTAAAAAAAAAGCTCACATACCTACAAATCCATACATACGGACATGATCTAAAAACAGCATATTCGAACTCCTGAGGCCAAAATTAATTATCGCCACACAAAAAAAGGAAATTTCAGATTTGACGAATACAATGCTTTCATTCGGTAGTAAAAAATAGGATGTGCTATACGTGCGTGTGAAAAAGTGGAACTTTACGTACTAGTAACACAATATATTATTTTTGAACATTTCAAATTCATTTTCCTCGTTACACTCAATGACACAACTGGAGTCTATTCATTCTACTTTAAATAATGTCAGTTGAAATGCATTATTTTTCGAACGTTATCTCGATAGTTTTTCCATCTTCACAATGTAAAATATATCGCAATTTCCATTGGATTTTACATCACGCAAGAGTCCCTAAAAATAATGACTGTACAATAAAAAAAAATATATATATATCAGAAAAAACCGAAAATTTTTAAAGAGCGTTTCTAATAAGGATTAAGAAATGAGTTCGATAGAGAGGAAATAGTGAATGGATAATTTATAATGGTAACTAACGATCTGACAGCATTGACTACTGTGACAAATGACGACATAAAACCCATTAGATACGTCAAATTATTAATTTGCAATTTCCTCCCTATTGGGTTTACTTCTCAATATTATTAAAAAACGCTCTTTGAAAATGTTCAACTTTTTTCAGTGTTTTTTTTTGTACAATCATAATTTTTGAAGACTCCAGGGCTATGTAAAACTGACTAGCAATTGGAGATCATGTCAGATTATCAAAATAAAAAAAAACAACCAAGATCACGTTCGAAGTATAATCCACCCGACCTTAATTTGAATTTTTTTAATTCTACCTGAGCCACGTCTCAATAAATTCTCATTATTATCCCTATTATTATCCTAAAAACACTCCCATTATTGAAGGTATCCCCCTGGTTACTTTCCACGAGACGACCTCCGAGCTAAAAACGATCCCCTCGATTGGAATGGAGACCACATTCACACGAATTTTAAGGAGATGTACCAACACCTGAGGAATAACGGGTATTACCTCGAAGTCCTGGGGACTCCCTTCACCTGTTTCAAGGCCAAGTATTACGGAACACTTCTGATTGTCGATGCAGAGGAGGAGTTCTTCCCCGAGGAGATCAACAAATTGAAGAGGGACGTGGAGGACGAGGGACTGTCCATTGTTGTGTTTGCGGATTGGTACAACGTTACTGTTATGAAGAAAGTCCAGTTCTACGATGAGAACACGAAGCAGTGGTGGATACCAGACACCGGAGGGGCCAATGTTCCAGCCCTGAATGATCTTCTGTACGAGAACTGGGGGGTGGCGTTCGGCGATTGGGTGGGGGATGGGCAGTTTAGGCTGGGGGAACATGCACCGATTAATTTCGCCTCGGGGACGAACATCGCGAAGTTCCCTGAGGGGGGCGTCCTGGTGGCGATGGAGCTGAGGGACCAGGGGGAGGAGCTGCTCCAGGGGAAGGAGACTGGGAGTGTTGGGAGGGTGCCCATCATTGGGCTGCTCCAGACGAAGGGCAGGAGGTTCAATGAAATTGAGGGACAGGGAAGCGATAATAATGGAGGAGAGGTGCACTCTTCGGGTGGACCTGGGAGAGTTGTCGTTTATGGAGATTCTAATTGTATTGATGATGCTCATGCCAAAAAACGTGAGTATCTCGGTGTGAAGGGATTTTTCGGGACAGGGGAGTTTACGTTTAGTTAGGGGAGAGTGGGGCAAAATGAAACAGTCAATAAAACGACTGTTTGACGCAATTCAAGTAAAAATAATTTTTTTTATTAAATTTTTTCGGGAGTACTGATGAGAATAATAATTTTCCATTCAGTAAAATGGAAAATTAATGAGAAGTTTTGATGCGAAGATTTTGCCAATGAATTATTCGATTGAAATTGAGCATCATATTTTCTTTTTTTCCCCCTCTGGGTCTCCCCTGGGCGTTGCTCTGGACTTTGGATTTTGCTGTTTCATTTTTTTTTTCAATTAATCCGTTGACAAAATCTTCGCTCGTCAAAACTTCTCAATAATTTTCCATTCTACTAAATGGGAAATTATTATTCTCATCAGTACTCCAAAGAATAAAAAAAGTTAATAAAAAAAACATTTTTTTTGCTTGAATTGCGTCAGTCGTTTTTTGACTGTTTCATTTTGCCCTACTCTCCCCTATTTGTGTATTAATTAATTCGTTTTTTCATTCATTCATTTTTTTATTCATTTCAATGTTGATGGACATATTTATTGATGGATGATGTGAGTATAGGTATCCTAGGTATAATAAAAACGATTAAAGTGTGAATGGGTACAATCCAAGGGGCAAGAAATATTGTATAATTGGTATGAATGGTAATTATCGCAACTCGGTTTGCATTTTGATGAATATTCAAGAATTTAAGGGTATTCAAGTAACTTTTACAGTTTGGTACAGACCACACTATAGATTCAACCATTTTCAATCATCAAATTTGTCAATTAAATTGCGTGAGAAAAATTTGAAAAAAATCACGAATATTCAACGTCATTAAAATTACATTTTGAACAGAATTGTGAATTTTTTTAAACGTTCGTTGTTTATAAATAAATAATTGAGATTGTTTAAACTTTGGGAAACCTCATTTTCTCAGGCATGAAATCGATTTCTGCTAATATTCAGAATACGAATAAATTTGTTACGATTCCGAATAAACGATTTTTAACAATAGTTTCACTATTTCTGTTAGATTGCTAAATATTTTCCGAAAACTTATCTATTTTAAAATCCGATCAACTGATTATATTTTCAAAGGTTCTCCAAATATGATAGAACCATCAAAATTTTTACAAATAGTTTTTTTTGTTGCTCTCAATTTCTTCTAATAGACTTCGAAAATACCGAAAGATTCCCAAAAAATAGAATTATATTCCCCATATCTCAGGATACCCCCCACAACATACCGTACTTCATAAAAATAATAAAACATAAAACAAAAATTATAAATCATCAAATAAAATGATTAAAAACATCAGTTTATAAAAACCAAATAACTTTATAATTTTCCAGCCCCATGCTTCTGGATGTTGGACGCCTTCCTGGAGTACACAACAACGGGATACGTTCCATCAATCTTCACAAATGCTCACAGCGAAGAAAAAGTCCCCAAAACCCCAGGGAAACACTTCTCCCAATTGCCCAAACGAATGGAGGGAAATCATTTGGACCGCCACAGCAAAGTCCTGGAGTCATCATCTACGTCAACGGGTGGTCAGCACCTCCGACCACTTCCCAAGTGTCCAGTGTCGACCCCAGCAGTGCCTCACCCACTGAACGAGTCAGCCCCGACGAATCTCTACAAGCCCCAGAAGCTTCTGTCCATCGGGGATTATCTCCCAGCACCAGTGGCCCACCAAGAGTCCGAGTCTACGTGGTTCAAGCGACGGAATGGGGGTGGAAATGGTCAGACATTCTCGGTCAATCTCGAACCAATGGACGAGTCGAGTGAATTCCACGAGAAGATCAACCACCGGTGGCTCTACATGAGCCAGTGGACGTTTATGCTGGCTGTCATCGTCATCTGCGTCATCCTGATCTCAATCCTCAGGAACTGGATGACGTGCGGGACGAAACGACCCTCGAGGAGGAAACGAACGATGGGGAAATTGAGAAGAGTCATCCAGGCTATTGCCGTTCATAGAGTGCCTCAAATGTAAAAACCATCGCATCTTTGTTTCAATTGTTTCTACTGAATAATAGGATAGTGCTCATTCATAGGGGGATAATTGAGGGGATTAAGTAATTTGAGAGAACAGATACTATTGTAAAGTGTTACTAGGGTACCAATTAACATAAATTTTTGTGGAGGTACAGGAGGGAGTCAGTGATATCGTGATTATGGAGGTCTGTTTAAGGGTAGTTGGGAATTTTTGTTATTACCAACCGTCCAATCCAAAGGACTTACTCATTCATCATTCGATTGATTGAATGGCTAATAGGGAAAGTAATGTTTTGATAAATTATCTTTAATTAATTAGGGACTATCTTTACGATATTAAATTCAAGTTTAAAGAATTTGAAGTTGAATTATTTTAATTGATTGACTGATACATTGAGTAGTTGCAAATGGAATTGCATGCCTTTTAAGTTTGAAGATATCTTTAGCCGTTTTGAAAACCTCTTTTGCTCTTCTGAAGGCTTGATTCTTCGATTTTCTAACGAGTCGCTCCATAGAATTTTTTAGAAAATTTAACTAAATTTTGGGGGAAAATGGCGTAAAAAATATCTACTCTTCGTTTCAATGGTTTCTACTGAATAATAGGATAGTGTTCATTCATAGAGGGATAATTGAGGGGTTTAAGTAATTTCAGAGAACAGATACTATTGTAAAAAGTGTTACTAGGGTACCAATTAACATAAATTGTTGTGCAGATACAGGATGGAGTCAGTTATATCGTGATTATGGAGGTCTGTTTAAGGGTAGTTGAGAATTTTTGTTATTACCAACCGTCCAATCCAAAGGACTTATTCATTCATCATTCGATTGATTGAATGGCTAATAGAGAGAGTAATGTTTTGATAAATTATCTTTAATTAATTATGGACTATCTTTACAATATTAAATTCAAGTTTTAAGAGTTTGATGTTTAATCATTTTAATTGCCTGACTGTTTCATTGATTACTTGTACTTACTCATTCACCATCAGTCAATTGATTGAATGGTGAACAGCGAGAAGAATGTTTTCATAAATTATCTTTAATTAATTAGGAAATATCTATACGATGTTAAATTCAAGTTCCAAGAATTTCAATTTGAATAATTTTCATTGATTAATCACTTGATCAGTTGTAGAATGGATTGTATGTCACCCAGTGTGCCCTCGTCTGTTCAGAAGCTGTCTTGTGGGTCGTGAAGATGCTTTTTAGGACTTCGGAGGCAGCTGGATCCTTGGCAACGCTGTAATCCTCCTTCGCCTTCTTGAAGGCTGGGTCTTGGGGCTCGACTCTAGGTCTGCTCGGTCCGGCCTTCTCTTCTTTTTTAATTTTCAGTTTTTTTGGTTTCGATGAAGAGTCTTCAGTTGCTGGGGTGTCCTCGCTCGTTTCCCTCCTTTTTTTAGATTTTTTTGATTGCTTTCGGAAAGCTGCGTTGTCCTCCATCCGTTTCAGATCGTCTCCTTCTGCGTTTAGAATTACGATGTCCGATGGTTCGAAGGGTTTCTGACATCTGTGGCATACCTGTAGTGAAACAATTTAATTTTTTTCTGAGTACAACATTCTATTAATTACTGAAATGGAAGAAAACGAAATTTGAAAGTGGATTTATTGATGTTAATTCCCCTTAATGACTCCTCTTATTCGATTTGCATAATTTATATTTTGTAAATCGAATATTTATTTATATGCATTTAGTGAAAATCATTGAAAATTTTATTTTCTGTCGAGTGACAATGGAATTTTTGAAACATTATTCAGTAATAAATTAATGTTCTATTCATCGACTCCTCGAATTTTATAAATATTAATAATGCAAAATCGAGCAGAATAAACTCCTTCATTTGATACAAACAATTGATCAACTTGAGATCAATTAAAATTCCAATCCTGAGGAATTAGCTGTTCTTTGCAACTTTCAATTAAATTTTTATTGCAAAATGTTAAAATAACATCACTTACAATTAATTCACCAATAAATCAATAAATTAATCGCCTGTTGCTTCACCCATCGATGAAAACAGAAAATTCATCTGGAATATTTCTTCAATAATCAATTATAAATGTCAACATACCGAACTTTTAACTTCCTTCAAAGCCCTCTCACTCATGACACACCCACAAGTCCACAAATAGCAGAATTTGTATTTTCCATTCATCTCAAGTCCAATGACTGGGCAGATGAAAGGACTCTTTCCTCCATCCACATATCCATCACCAGTTTCAGCTTTACTTGCGTCGTAAGCTGGGTTGGAAGTGAGATTGAGGGGCTTGACGTCTTTCAGACTCTTTATGTGAACTGCAGACTCCGGCAGTGTCGAGCGATCCAGGAGGCCCTCGATGACAGCTTCCTTGCTGTAGAGTTTGCCAAGGGAGCAGGCAACGATTGGGGGCTGGAGGGGCAGTTGTTTTATGGTGCAGTGCCTCCACCTGAACGCCAACTCTGCCTCTCTATCTTTCTAGTTACAGCAAAGACAAAAACGTTAGGGGCCAATGGGGCAACACGGACACTTTAGAGAATGCAATTTTTTTTAACTAGGGGAGGGTAGCATAAAACGGACACTTTTGACTTTTTTAAACATATTCATGACGTGTTGAATTGTTCATGAAATAGAATCATTTTATCTTTCAATTGAAAAACAATGATTCCTCTTTGTGATGAGCTTAGATTGAGCTCAATTGATAAATCTGTTTCTGAGTTATGAATATTTTTTAAAAAGTCAACAGTGTCCGTTTTACCCTACCCTCCCCTACTAAATCTATTTTTGCGACAAAAATTTTTCATTCCGGCGCACTCTCTGCATGTTTGGTACAAAAAAATCCTTTTTTGATAATTTTCAAAAAACTATTTTCTTGGCACAAGTAAGACTTGTTTGAGAACTTTGTCGTTTTTCTCTCAGTGTACATTTGAGCCCTCAAAAATGATGATTTATACGTTAATTCGGTAAAAGTGTCCGAAAATCTAGTGACCCTCAGGATGAAAAGGTCTATTAATCTGTTGTTCATTATATTAATTTTTTTTCAACACTAAATTAAAAATTAAAACTTAATTCAGAATATTGAGTCACATCTTCTTTTTGAACATATCAGAAATTGTATATTTGGATATTAATATTATTTGTGCAAAGTGAAAAAATCGATCATAATTTTCACTATATCGCATTCACATTCTCCTATCCACACCGTCAAAGTTGTGAAATAATTTTAAAAAGTGAAAAATATTTGATGGACAGCATCATAACCTAGTGCATTTACCTGTTCTGGCTTCTTCTTAACTCGAACAAGTTCATCTCTTCGGGGAATAGTACCACCGTCACAACCCATCGCTTCAAATTTATTTGAAAGATCTAAAAGAAGATCACAGACGAGTGTTTGATTGTCAGAATCACGTAAAAATATGACAGGACAATGGACGTATGCTCAGGAACGTCAAAATTGTCAACAACCGCAGGTGCGTGTTCATTAGAGGTCGAATGTTAGATTCTTCAAAATTATCTGCTAATCTGTCTTCAGATATTTATGTGATCTAGGCCTACCCAAATGAACTGCTGAACTGCGCATGTTCGTACAAATAGAGATGCTGAATGACCGTCATTTTTTGTTCATATGACGCAATCTCAAAAATGACGGTCTTGTGACGGTCATGTGAAATGAATTTAAAAAAAAATTGACGGAAAATATACAGTTCCATCTACATAGGGGAGGGTAGGGTAAAATGGACACTTTTGAGTTTTTTAAAAATATTCATAACTCAGAAACAGATTTATCAATTGAGCTCGGTCTAAGCTCATCACAAAGAGGAAATAAAATTATTCCATTTCATGAACAATTCAACACGCCATGAATATTTCAAAGTCAAAAGTGTCCGTTTTACCCTACCCTCCCCTAGATGAAAAATCACTGTCACTTTTTCTTGGAAAATTATGACGATCATAAAGGGGGAGGGGAATCGTGACAGCCGTCATAAACGCCTCGTCATGTGACGGTCATATGACCGTCACATATATATGGGACGCATGTGCATTTTTACGTGCAAATAGAGTTTCAAAAATTACCCTAATTTTTTAAATTGCGTCATATGACCAAAAAATGACGGGCATGTAACACAAATTTCTAAACTACAAATGGCAAATTGTTGACAAACCATCTATATAGATGAAAAATAACCGTCATTTTTTCTAGGAAAATTGCGACGGTCATGGGGGGGGGAGGCAATTGTGACAGCCATCATAAACGCCTCGTCATATGACACATTTGCATTTCTAATTGAGTGTTTATCTCCGGCAGCCTTGATGTTCAAAATAATGCGGATATTTTCCACTAAGAAATGAGACTACGTGTGATGGAATCTACAGATGACTCTTTATTGCACAGATATGTGGAGATATCAATATCAATAGAATACATTGTTCAATACATTCATCACCATCATCAACCCACTCTATCCTCACACTCCTGCATTCCATCATCTCCAGTTTAATTGTTTAATTATTGATACTTCATAATACTGCTCAAGTGCCAAAGCGTTCCTACAGAAGTACAAAGACTCAGCGCATCTATCCGTATTCCCTCCGCCCCCCATTTCTAACAGTGTATTAACAATTTAACGCACCTGTTAAGTTAGAAGTTCTGACACTACGTGTAAATATCGTTAAAAATAGTTTCATCTTCTGGGTTCAACGTTTGTTTGAATTAAATTACCTAGGAATACTCAGATGGGAATGATGGGTTTTAATACAATTAACAATGACAATTAACTTCTACTCAATCACGGAGGAAAAAATTGAATAGGAAACCTAGCGAAGTCGCTAGAAAATTCTATTGGAATTCTACAGGAATTTTATGGGGTGTCTATAGGATTTCTGTTGGAATTATATTGAAAAATTCTATTTGTTTTTTTGCGCTGATGTTATTGAAAATTCGATAAGACAAAGTCAATAGATTTCAAATTTCTATTTGAATTTTCTCTTGAGATTTTTTCTATAAGAATTCTTGGGCATCAATTTTCTGTAATGCAAAACAACAAAAAATCCAGCGGGAAAAACTTGGCAAATTTTTGCTTAATAATTCGAACAGAAAAAGCCTCAAGAGAAAAATTCGAACAGAAATTCTAAAATATATTGACCTTTTCATATCGAATATCCAATACAATCAGCGCAAAAAACAAGCAGAATTTTTCAATAGAATTCCAATAGAAACCACATAAAATTCTTATAGAATTCCAATAGAATTTTCTAGCGAATTCGTTAGGTTTCTATTGATTTTTTCCATGCGTGATGATATCTTCTTCAAAAAATGAATTTTTTCTCAGTCATCTATCATACCCAGTGCTTAGCACAACTAATATTGACACAACACATTTTGTTTTCATAATAAATACAACAATACAAATACATGTTAAAAATCATCCTAATGTAATCGACAAAAATTTGGCATTCCATTTTGGTTTATCCTTTACACATGTAGATCGGCTAGAAAGTTGACATTACGTCATCAACAGTGATTGACATTTCTATTTAAACACTGATCGAAAAAATGTACATGTTGGAAGAGACATCTTTAAGTTGAATATGCAGAAGTTGAGTTTAATACGCACGAAAAAAATTGTCTAGAAAAAGCTAGACAATTCGGTAGAGAATTCTATTGGCTTTCTATTGAAACTTCTGTTTTTTTTTCGTTGATTATATCGAATGATTCTGCGCTTTTTTTTTCAATCAAAACTGTCCAATAAAATGTATTCTATAGAAATTCCTAAACATAAATTTTCTAAGTTTTAGTCACTCCATTTCTCCCCTCTTACTAAAAAAAATCAAATAAAGAGACTGACGATCAAATTGGATTGAAATTTGAAATTTATAAAATAATTAATAATTGAAATTTTCAATTCTCTATGAATTAAAAAATTGAAATATTGCATTGTAAATTGAGTATTGGATAGGTATTTCAAATTTTTAAAAGGGATTTTCGATTAGCCAAATAGTCGTCAATCCTCCGAACTCAATTATTGATTGATAAAACCATTCGGAATTTGGATATTTAATCGGTGATTAATTTAATAATATAAAATTCATGAGTATTATTAGCTATTGACTTCTTCACAATTTAACTTTATTTAAAATTGACGATTCTATCGATGTCGTAAGGATATTTGTGTGGAGATATTTCCATAGAAAATATTTCAATAGAATAAGTTGTATAAAAAATCAATGCTATTGACCACTTCTGTCCCCAAAAAACGCAGAGAAAAGCTGCGAAATTGTTCAATACACTCGATGAAAAATTAATAGATTTCAATAGAAGTGCAGGGGAAATTCAATAAAATTTTCTACCGAATTCTCTCCGTTTTTCAACTAAATTATTTCGTACATTCACTAAATTGGTTGGCAGGAATCTCATTCATTTCGACTAACTAATTCCAGCAGTATAATCATCGTGGGATATCATGATTGTTTACAATTATTCTCGTTTTCCTAGTAGTGAGCAAAGATTTATCATATTACGTTAATATTTTTTGTTCAAGCTCTTGCCAAGCTGTCATCTTTTTTACAAGTACTTCCACTCTATCGTTCTATACTTGTGCAATGCCTATACTGAAAATATAGTCAAAATATATTATGTATATCATTCGATCTTAGTTTCATCGGGAGTTCAGAAAAAGCTATAAAAATAGCCCTCAGCAAACCTCTCAACCACAGCCCATTCTTTTATTTTTTTTTGTATTCAAATATGAAGAGTTTTTCATCATTTTTTTCATCTTGTTTCGAAGGCAGGATTAGTATGCTATAATTATCGTTATTTTATTATGATTTGTTTCAAATGAAGCTATATGAAAATACTTTTATACATACATCAAAAATTTGATCAATAGATTTGTCACAATCTGGTTATCTTCATGCATACCACGAGGACGTATTTTTTTTTTTGAAATTGTTTTTTTTTCGTAGTGTATGCGTAGGACGTAAGAGATTCTTTCTTCATTCTTGTCGAGATTTGGTTACATCTAGGAGATCATCTAGTTTTATCTAGTCATTTTTAATAGCTTATTCTAGTAATGAAGTAATTAATTGATAATACAGAACGTTAATCGTCAGAGACTGAAAATTATTTAAGATATGTTTGAGAGGACAAATGGCTGGGATAACTGCAATACATATCCCCCCTCTTTTTCATAAAACAATTTTTTTAAATAAAACGACAACTTGATAAACACAACCTAAACTTCAACTGAAAATAATTCAGTAAATAATGAACAACAGTAACAAATCAACAGAAATACAGTAACTGACTGCTATAGAATAATAAAACGAATGATTCTAAATAATTCAGCGAAACAGTATTAAATTGTTGGCATGATTATGCGTTGAGACGCACGAAGTCGATGGGATTTCAAGTGAGAAATAAATGAAAACAATTGCACATTTCTCATTTACCACGACATTCGGTGTTGGCTGCGTTTCTTTGAGAGTAGATTGATCCCTCAGCCAGACCCCGCAGGGGGCCCTTTCGTAATTCTGGATTTGGTCCTTTGGCAAGGGTTTTACGATTGGAGACTAATGAGGAATCCTTTCCAACTGCTAGCAATCGTACGGATGATTCTTTGGAGAGGTTGGTGGGGTCTGGGCCTGCCCAGGGAGCATAATCAGGTCTGAAACAGATTTTTTTTTTCATCGGGATATTCAGTAAAAACAGGTGATGCTTTTTGTCACTAAATTTCGTGAGAAAAATTTCAAAAAAATAATGAATATTCAGCGTCATTCAAATTATATTTTGCAGAGAATTATTTATTTATAAACAACGAATGTTAAATAAATAACATAACAATTTCAATTATTTATTTAACATTCGTTGATTATAAATAAATAATTGAAATTGTTATAATTGAAATTGTTATTTATAATCAACGAATGTTACATAAATAATTAAAATTGTTTAACCGTTTGGAAACCTAATTTTTTTAGGCATGAAATCGACATCTGGTGAAATTCTGAATGTGCATAAATTTGATGGAAAATTGCTCGTTCATAAATTATTTATAGAAAATGCTCGTAATTTTCAAAAATTGCCATTTTTTAATTATTTATCGATCTTCCTCCAAAACTAAACTTTATCATTTTCCTTCAGATTTTTAAAATACTTTTTAACGGTAAAGTTTAAATTCTAAAATCATTGTTCAGAAGTTTAGGGTCAAATGGGACTCAAATAATTCAATTAATTAGATTTCAATTTATAAATCCCGATTACTTGTCGCTTGATATGTTTTCACTGAGATTAAAAATTTGATTTGAGATATTTGACTCTGAAACTCGTTACACAGATAGTTTTCACACTTTTTCGTGCCAGTTTTACCCATTTCTGTAATAACAAAGGACTTACAAGAGCAAATCGTTGTCTGGGCCTTTTGCCAGTTCAGGATTAGCACCCGTTGCTTTGATCAAATATGGGGATTTGTATTCACCATCTTCGGTTGTACTCGTACCTCGTGAAACCCTAGAAATTAGTGCAATATTTTTATTACTGGACATTTCACATAACATGCTGATTCGTCTGCTCAATGACTGCATTCGGAATGACAACTCACTTTGGTAATTCATTCCTATTCTTCGATCTCTTGGACTTTTCACTATCTTTGTCCTTGATAATCTTCTTAATGGGAGATGCCGTCAATTTAATGGCTTCTGTCATGGGAGGACTGTATTTTCTATCATCACTTCTGCTGCTATCACTGTAATAATTGAACCACATGATGAAAATTGATACGCACGAACAAAATTTCATACAATAGCTCGGACGATAAAAATTTAATAGAAAAACCTAGCGAATTGGCTAGACAATTCTATTGGACTTCCATTAAACTTTCTATTAGTTTTTGACCTGTCCCATTGACATATTTTCTATAGAGTTTATTCGGCTTAAATTTTCCAAGTTATTTCCACTCTATTTTCATTTTCCTTTCATCCAGAAAATCAACCAAAAAAACTTCGATAATTTGAGCCGAGGAAATTCTATAGAAAATATCTCAATACAATAAGTTGTGTAGGAAAATCGAATTCTATTTCCTGGCTATAATAAATCCGGGCTTTTAATCAAGCTTCATTCGAGGTAGTTTTACCTATGACTACTGAAGGTACGAGGTTGACTAACAGCTTCCTCAGCCACCATAATATCCAAAATATGAATGGCCCTTTCTTCATCGTAATCTACACTGTCCATTGCCAGTGTTATCACACGCTCTGGCACGGATTTAAATTTCTCCATCAAGTTTAATTTCACTGGAACAATAAACAAGCAAGTGTTGATAATCCCTGCTTTTGAGAGAGAAAAGGTAAATTCCATCGATTCATTATCAAACAATTAAAGAAAAACTTGGTCACATGCATAAACACAAGGTTTAAAAATTATATTGTCGAACTTTCTGGGTCATAATGGGTTGATATAACACAAAAAATCGAAAACTCAACTTCGTACGACCACAAAGCTTCCTTTCGGAAGCAAAAAGTCAAAATAATTGAAATCGATTCATGAAAAATTTTGAATTTAAAGAACTCACTCTTATTCTTCTCCTCAAGACTCTTCATCCTTGGCGGAGGTGTTGGAGCAGATTTAACACGTCTCGATTTCATCTCCTCCTCCTCTTTCTTCTCTTTGGCAATTGTTTTAATCGGACCAGTGGGATTTTTCTTCTCATACCCCTGTTCAAGAAGCTTCTCAGTCGCTTTCTGAACATTATTATCGCTCTGTTCCAGAATATCAAGTAGCAAAGTTTCGTCTACTTTGGGGAATATATTTTTCAGGTACCTGCATTCAACATTTACTTCATGTACCCGGGATTAATCCATCAACTTAAATCACTTGATCGTGATTGTTGTGCATGAACTTGCAGTATGACACTATTACACGGCATTCGTTAAAAGTTCTAGTATTGCCTACTTTGATGACAATTTATGGTTACTACAGTACTAAATCGCCATACTATTGACCTCATGTTGTGGGTAACACCTCTAATCAACACAGTATTGTTATGTTACTGACCAACTTATCGTCATGACTGTTAATCTCAATCAATAATTCATTATTGAGATGAAAAAGAATCGAAAATGGGCATTACTAAAAACAGTAATGGCCACTACCAAGTACATTAGTACTTAAATTCCTAAGTGAAGTATTAAGTATGTGGGGACTTGGGAATTAGTCTTCCATTAAATACTAAGTCGCCATGGAATTTAGTACTTGAAACTATTCAAGTACTAAGTGGCCCAGGGGAATTAGTACTTACAACTACCTAAGGGCTAAAAATCGTAGAAATTTAGTACTTAAAAATGTCTAAGTACCAAGTCGCCAAAGGATTTAGTACTTAAACATATCTAAGTACTAAGTAACCCAGGGAATTAGTACTTCAAATTATCCAAATACTAAGTAGCCAAAGGATTTAATACTTACAACCAAGTACTAAAAATCCGAGGGATTTAGTACTTAAAACTATCCAAATACTAAATCGCCAAAGGTTTTAGTACTTACATTAAGTACCAATTCGCCAACGGTTTTGGTACTTATAACTGTCTAAGTACTAAGTGGCCCAGGGAATTAGTACTTACAACTACCTGAGGGCTAAAAATCGTAGAAATTTAGTACTTAAAAATGTCTAAGTACCAAGTTGCCAAAGGATTTAGTACTTAAACATATCTAAGTACTAAGTAGCCCAGGGAATTAGTACTTCAAATTATCCAAATACTAAGTACCCAAGGATTTAATACTTTCAACCAAGTACTAAAAATCCGAGGGATTTAGTACTTAAAATTATCCAAATACTAAGTAACCAAAGGACTTAGTATTTACAATAAAGTACTAAAAATCGGAGGGCTTTAGTACTTAAAACAATCCAAATACTAAATCGCCAAAGGCTTTAGTACTTATATTAAGTACCAATTCGCCAACGGTTTTAGTACTTATAACTGCCTAAGTACTAAATAGTCAATTGGTTCAGTACTAAATATTTCACTACTCAGAATGTTTTCAAGTACTAAACCTTTAGTCCACTTAGGAATTAATCCATCTTCTAAGTCTAAGTACATTAAGTGCTCAGTACCTGAACTGGTGTAAGTACCAAGTACTTAATGTACTTAGACTTTGGTGATGGATTAATTACCAAGTACATATCGATTTTCTATTTAATCAGTTCGCAAGTATTAAGTACTTCTGTACTTAAGTATACTTAATCTGCCCTACGATAAAATCTCTGCTGTGATTAATTATTCCGTGTTGATTAGTGGTAAATTCCATGTCACAAATGTTATGCGACGATATATCCATGCATCGATGCAATGTTCAATTTTGTCATTCATCAGGTTAGTCAATCATCAAATTGTTAGTCAATATTTTGAGGATAATAATTTTGAAAGTTGCTAATGGATAGGTTCATTGTTCCTACAGGTTCCAGCATTCACTTGCGTTTTTTCCCTAGACGTTCATTCAATTGACATGCACATTATCATGCGTTAGTAATTCCCAGGATAAGATTTTGATAATGAAGAATTCTATAATCCGGTTAAATCCACGAAATAAAGACATAAATCATATAAACGAAAATTGAAACTGACCTAGATACGCATGAGACTGTCAATCTCAAAACAAATTAGTCAAATCGTTGGGAGAACGTAATTCATTGAAAAACTGAAATTAAAAGAAAATTAATGTTTCAATTAACAATAACGGAATTAAATTAATTTCACGATCAAAGGCTGGTGCTTCCTACGCAGAACTTTCGTCATCCTTCATTCAATGCACTTTACATGGATCAAAGAATATGGGCTTTTACGTATGCTTCGTTGATGCACGTATCAATTTTCATCGGTAGTGAAGTGATGGGAGCTGATGAGTCAATTCCAACTGTATTAGACTCTAGTTTTTGCTGAATATTTTGGGCCAATAGCGCTATTATGAAGAGTTTTTTTGGAAAGAAGAATAAGATCCACTGAAAAGCTCTTCATAAAATCGCTTTATGTTTCATCCATTCTGAGACATTAGAAAAACTGATTGTTTTTCAAATGGTCTCGTAGAATTGTTTAAGAAAGCTCTTTAAGAATATTTATAATTCTTTGAGAAGACAAATGTATTTTAGTGGAATTGGGTCATCCTGTGGTACCACTTCACAACTGAATTAAAACACGTATGAAAAAACCAATAGAAAAACCTGTCACTCAAAAAAACTTTTTTTACGCCAATAGCATTGTAAATTATTCAAATTTGCAATTTCATAAAGAAATTTTATAGATGTTCGTTTTTCGGTAAGAATTCTTGAGCATCACTTGATTTGGTTAAGAAACCACTTTCTTGTTGTGAATCAATTTCCCTGTCTTTCGGACAAGTACAAAATTTATTGGCGAACGTTTTTTTTCCCAGCGTAAGATATTTTGAACTTGAAAATTTTCGAGCCATGAGTTTCGTAACCCTAGTCTGCTCACCAAACGCGACCCTGCGACTCTGGTCACCTTCGCGGGGATTCCCCGCCGTCTTATTTAGGCTCTAGTATTGCCGAATTTACTTTGCACTGGTTGGGCGCGTTTCCGGTAACGTCGCGTGGTGGCAATTTCATTTAACATGAGAAAAAATAATTCATCTGCTCGAAATAATTTGTTTTCCTTAGGAATTTCGGGTAATATGGTGTTCTAAAAACTACTATAAGACACTTCAATTGACAAAGTTAATTTTTTTTTATTTTTCCGGTTAGCCAGCCAATTGTAATTAAAGACAAACGACGCGCGGTGGGTTTCCCTTATATGGTGACCAATCTAGGGTTATCTGAATTAGAGACTTATTTCTCAAAAAAAACTTTTTTTCTCAGTGCAAGGTAAGATTTCCCAAAGTCTCAAATCGAGACTTCCAAAAATTTCAAATTGAGGCTTTCGGAATTTTAGTTGAACAAAAATTTCAAGTTGAGTTCCGCAAGTCTTAACTTGAGGCATTCAATATATCAATTGAGTCTACGAAAGTCTCAAATTAAAACCGTCAAAAGTCTCAACTCGCGAATTTCAGACCTCAAATTAAGACTTGAAAATCTCATTTTAAGACCTTTGAAATGTGAAAATAAAGTATTATTTTTTTATGTCAAATTTTCCTACTGTTCTTTCGTCATAATTTTTTTTCATACGTGAATAATAATAAAAAGGAAAAAGAAAATTGATAAACTACTCCAGCTAGTCTATACAATACTAATGATACTGGACTGTCCATCCGACACACAACTCATTATTTAAAAAATACAAATGAGAACATATTGACATCTAGCATCCAGACTGGGGGTAATTGTGACTGAAACAGCGAGATAAAATAATTAAATAACCTAAGTTTCATTTTTGGGGAGTTTGGGGCTGGCCGTGCCCCACGCGGTGGACTCAATGTGATAGCAGCGTGAATAGCATGAGCCGGTAGACGCCATCTCGGTATAGCGTAGTTTGAATGCACTCCAACTGGTGTGCCTGGACCAGGCGCACAAAGTGGATTCTTCTCAATTTGCAGTGCACTCACTACCAATGCCGGCCTATTATGGTATCTGAAATGCAATTCGCTGAGAGCTTAGGACTGGTCCCTCAGAGGATCCCTCACTTACTGCCAATTCGTGAATTTAATGACGAGGAAATGAGGTTTCATCGTCATTGAGAGTAATTTCAACTAACTTTGGGAATTTTTTGGTGGAGCATTTGCTAGCCAATTTCATCAGTGTTAATTGTGAGTGTGAGCACATAGCGTTAGACACATGATTGTCTTGAGAATGTTAGAGTATGTACAAAGCCATACCGAAGAATCTCAGAAATGAGTTCAGTGACAAAGTGGCGAAAGTAAAATTCTATTTTTTTAAATTGTTGGTTTGCCTTACGAACGAATAGTTTAAGGAACAATGTCGAGAGAAAACATTCCCGATGAGAAATATAATTTTTTCTCTGAAAATCACTCGTTCCACGCATAAAGAAAATTAATAGGAAAACCTAGAGAATCCACTAGACAATTCTATTGAATTGCTATTGAACATTCTGTCAGTTTTTGGCCGATTCTATTGAAATTTTCAATATAAACATTTTATAGAAAAAGTCAAAAGAATTCGATTTTTTGATACAACTTATTCTATTGAGATATTTTGTATAAATTTTGGCTCAAATTTTCTAGGCTTTTTTCATTCAATTTTTTCCTTTGGATCAAGGATAGCCACATCCATAAATTATAATTATCGTTAAATTATTAAGTAGTCAATTAGTTAATATCACTTTTGATTTTAGTTATTGAAAGGATCATCAATTTAAAGTATTCAAATTCCGAATTAGTTATGAATCAGCAATTGAGTTAGGAAGATTGACAATCATTTGGATAATCGGAAAACCCTTATAGCAAATTTAGTATTATTTACTTAATAGAAAATTTACAGTTCCATATTATTAAATATTTAACTCATCATCAATTGGAGATTTAGATTATACTCTATTTTACTATTTGTAAATTTCGATTAGTATATTTAAACCTTGATCAATGTAAGCCGGAAATTCTTTTAATATTGAAGAATCGGAAGATTGGTGGGCATCCCTGCTTTGGATGAAGAAATTTTTAAAATTCTACAGAAAATACCTTAATAGAATAATTCTAATAAATTTTCTATTAACTTTATCTATAGAATATGTTCTATTGAACATTCCAATAGAATCGGCGAAAAACTAATAGAAAGTTCAATGGAAATCCAATAGAATTGTCTAGTGGATTCGCTAGGTTTTTCTATTAAATTTTTTAATCCTTCGGAATTCAACATTTGAAAATTAATAAAAAATCTGAAAATGTCTTGATTGACATTCACCATTCAGCATTTACTTCCAAGACAAGTGATTATAGAAAAAAAAATTTCCAAGTTTTTTTGTAGCGGAGCAAATTACCCACAAAAATGACGTCTGAAATTTTCTCCTGAACTCACTCGTTATCGAGAAAATTCAGCATGAAGATTTGAAAATTCGAATCGAATTCGAAATATTCACCACTTCGACACTGAATTCAAGAAAACACTCATTGAATGACATAAAATATTGCAAAATTGCTATGATGAACTTACTTCTTCAATAGCAGTCGAATGTGTGTGTCTGACACAGTGGGAAAAATAGCATTAATCCTAGCAACTTGGAACTCAGTGTCACCATTCTGAGTTAAACTCGTTTCCATATTTCTGACTGGCGTTGGTGATCCAATAGTCATGTCACCAAATCTATTTGTCATTCCGCTCATCGAACGGGTGGACATTGATGTTTTTAATTCCTATTTAATGAGATGTTATGATTACCATGGGGGAAAATAAATGCAGAGAGACGGGATCTAGACAACGATACCAGTAGTGAAGTTGCAAAAGTTTATGGGGAGCATGTGGAGACATCTGAAAGAAAATCAGTGAAGAAACTGGGGCATTTTGCGAGAAAATTCTATTGATTTTCTTTCATTCTTTTTTCTTATAGAAATGTTTAATAAAAAATAGCCTATAGAAAAATGAGAAGAATTTCTGCAGAAGTTTCTCAACCCAATTTTTTTTGTTTAATTTTTTCAATGAGAAGAGAGAAATCGCGCACGAAAAATTTGAGTAGAAAAACCTAGCGAATTTTCTGGCCGATTCTATTGAAATATTCAATAGAAAATATTCTACAGAAAAGAGTCAATCGAATTCTATTTTTCTATACAACTTATTCAATTAAAATATTTTCTACTGAATTCCAATTTTTGCTCCTTTTTTCTCCTTTTTTTTTGGCTCCAATTTCGCAACTTTTTTCAAGTTCTCAAGTTTTTTCTATAATTTTTTTCGCATAAAAAGATATTCCAAGTTTTTTCATTCTATTTTTGTTCTTTCCATCATGAAAATCAAACAAAAAAACTTGACCCCAGGAAATTCTGGAATTCTTGAAAATTTTACGCCAGGAAATTCTATAGAATAAGTTGACTAGAAAAATCGAATTCTATTGAACATTTCAATAAAAATCCAATAGAATTGTATATCGAATTCGCTAGGTTTTTCTATTAAATTTTGTCACACCTCATAGCGCGAAAAAAATTGAAAAAATTATGACGGGGAATTGCGGCAAAAAATATTAAACTCGTCACAAGAATGTCCGTGATTTAATGCATCTCCCCTTTTTGTCACTTCACCACTGATTTTACAACAGAAAACAATGGAAACACTCGACACTTAATCGTTCAATTCCATGTACCTGCGAACTTGGCGGCAAAAATGCCGGCTGTGGACTATTGTATGGTGACGGATAGATTTGAGGAGCCCTATGGGCAGCCGCATACATCAAATGACCTCCACCGACACCGACAATACCTCCTCCAGTCTACTCCAGTTTTTTGTATTCGTATTCATTTTTTGAAATTCAAATCCACGCAGCATGGGCACGTATTTATTTCAATTATCGATTTACATGTTTATGAATTTGTTAAACCATTTGGGCTGAGGTTTATCCAGCATGCGGGTCACTGAGCGTACAATTATCCGTTTATAATACGTGTGACCATATTCAAATAAACTAGAATGAGACAGAATGGATCTGTCTAAATCTCCAATAACTCCGGATCCAGTGATGCGATTTGAATAGGTCGGGGACCATTTTAAGGCTTGGAAAAATACGTTGAAAATTAAAAAGAACAACAAATCGGGGAACTTCACACTATCAATGAGATATTGGCGATTAAATATGATCCATTTTGCTCACAAGTCGATTCGATTTCGAAATTCATTTTTTGTTGAGTATCTTGGAATCTAGCGCAGATAGAAGAATTTTTAAGAAGACTTTTTATTGGTGGAGGTGAGAGTTGTAAAAAATATTTTAATGAAAACTTTATTATGAAATCTCTTTAAGTTTTCAAGATATTCAGCAAAAATCTTAACGCAGAAACGAAAAATTTCTAGTTTTCAGAATAAGTTACTAATTTTTAGACACTCATGGTTCTAGATTTCATTGCAATGAATAAGAAACTATTTCGTTACATTCAGAAGAAACATCCCTGAAAGTCAGTATGGAAAACCGAGAAATGTTCGTGAAGTAAACTCATTCAAAAGGAATAAAATCCTGGAATAATTGAGGATGAAGTCAACATTAATTGAGTCCATGTGTCAAGGGATATACTTTTGATATCCAAGCATTTATAAACATGAGTAGTTTAATTTTAGAATGGGGAAAATTGTCGATGGTTGATTTAAGAACGAAAAAGTTCTCAATCTAATGTTCTTTATTGATGGTTTCAACGTTCTTATTTTAAGGACTCAAAAGTTCTGAATTCAAGAACCGAGATTTCCGTCTGATGAAAGAAAATGTAATTCAAGTCTAATTATGATAGATTTAAGGGAAAGTCTGTCAGAATTAGAACGTTTTTATATGATTTTTAGCAAAAATTTCCTTAAAATGAACAAAATTTTCCCTTAGTTCCATTTTTTTTACTAATTCTGTGTGAGAAATGTTCTTCAATCACGAACAATTGGGTTTCTTGATTAACAACCTTTGCATTCTCAAACTAAGAGTATTTAAAAGGGATAAAATTCTCGGTTTAAATATTAGTTCAACAAAAGTGGATCAATTCAACAATGAAAACGTTCTAAATTTGAGAACCCAGAAGTTCTTGATTAGAGAACCCCGATGTTTTCATTTTAAGAACCACAAGTTACGAATTCTAATAAAATTCGATGTAATAAAAAATGAAGAAAATTAGATCGTCATTCTTAGTTTTTTTTTTTAAATTCCCTCAGAATAAGTAACAGGACCAAACGTCGATTTCAGAATGAGAAAATTCTCAATCTGACATTTTTCATTGAAAAGTTCCAAAGGTCTTATTTTAAGAACCCAAAGATTCTGAATTTAAGAACCAAGATTTGCTTAAGATCAGAGAAAATGCAATTCGAGTCCAATTATGCTAGGAATTTTCTCAAAATGAATAAAAATTTTCCAGTTCCAGGATTTTTTACTTATTTTCAGTGAAAAATGTTCTTCAAACACGAATAATTGTGTATCTTAATTAAGAACCTTTGAATTCTCAAACCAAAGGTATTGAAAAGGTATAAAATTCTCGAATTGAGCATTAGTTCAACAGAAGAGAAAAAAACGATCAATTCAAGAATGAAAACTTTTTAAATTTAAGAACCCAGAAGAAGTTTTTGATTAAAGAACTCCAATATGTTCATGTTAAGAACCCAAAAGTTTCCAATTCTCAATCAAAATTCCCTAAAAAAAATAAAAAACTGTAGACTGAATAAAAAATTAAAGAAAATCATGAGTTCTTTCTCACATTTTCATTTAAAATCCCCTCAGAACTAAAAATTTCCCTCAAATATTCGCAGGATTCTGTTCCCTAGATTTCAATACCAAGAAATTCTGAATATCAGAAATTTTTACTGAAAACTAGAAACATTCCTCCTCTGCAAAACCTCCCTCTCCCATTTATCTAAAAAACACTGACCTGCATAGGTATAGCCTCATGCGAGTTCCCGGTGGATGGAGAGCTCGTTGCAACGGAATTTCCCTGTAAATACTGTGCATACTGCCAGTATCGCACTCTGGGGTCTTCCCATGTAGTAGTTCTGCTGAAGTGATTGATGAAATACCTGAAACGTCATGACACTATCACCTCCATTCACCTGTTCTCCCCATTCATCCACGAGGAGCTTCTGCCCCATACGTGCCCCAACAATTGCTCAATACTCATTATGTGCCACGACCACTCGACACTTTACATCGCAAGTGTCAAAAACCCTTCGTTGCACATATGTGGATCAACAATAATGGGATAATGGAACTGTTCAAGAGAGGGAGAGGAAGAGAGACGGAGATATGACGACAATAATAGAGCATTTGCGTGGGTATGGCAGGGAAATTCACGGGTATTTCAGTGCCCTGGGGGTGTTTGAGGGGAATTGTTTACGAATTTTGTGGATTTACTCACGCACGACCGCTTCTTATGTCATATCTGCACTCCCAACCCGGTGGTAATTGCGCTCTTTCACCTTGCTCCGCCATTTTTGTGATTTCTGTGTGCGCTTCTGACGGCCAATGGCAACGTATGTAACTTCGTTGTGCATCCACGATGTTACGAAGTTGGCTGTATTCGTGAATACGTGTGTCTGGTCCATATTATCTCGGATCGGATGCTGCGCTCCATTTATCTGATTTATATTCTCTCTCGGCTCAAGTGAGGAGAGGGCTCTCGTGTGCTGCTGACTTCAGAGCTTTGACCTTTAGCATTGTGGGTGTAAATGCGTATGAAGAAATTTCATGGAAAAACCTAGCGAATTCGTCGGAAAATTGTAGTGGATTTCTAATAATAACTTTTTGGAGGATTTTATTGGAAAATTCTGCAGCTTATCTGTGGGCTTTTTTCGATAGAAAGGTTCAATGGACAGGACGCTGTTGAAAAAATCAATAGAATTCGATTTTCTATAGATAAATTTATATTTGGCTGAATTTTTAAAGTTTTTCGTTTGTTTTTTTCAATGGAAACAGGGTAAAAATAGAGTGAAGAAATAAAAAATTAATGGCAGGATTATAAAAAGATGAAATTCTACTGTTTTTTCTGTAGAATAATTTCTATTGGATATTTTAAAAAATGATACAATCGAAAATAATAATAATAATAATAATAATAATAGAATAATATTTTTAAAAATAATAGAATTTTCCAATCTTGAAAAATATTTTCAATAGGAATTCCTCAACACAAATTTTCAAGTTCTTTTTCAAAGAATTTTTTTCTCCTTTCATTGTTCTATGAAAAAAAAAGTTTTTTGTTCGAATTTTTATTGAAAAATGCAAACAAAAAAATTCGAAAAATTTAGTTAGGGAATTTTTATAGAAAATCTCCATAAAATTTATTTATTTGCAGATTATGCTATAATTATTAGGAAATCAGGACAAGAACCAATTTCTGAAGTTTTAGAGAATTTATTTGCTTTGATCTTTCGTGTCAACAAAAATAAATTACTATCATGATACTTTTCCCTTTATGTACAAATTAATTGGTCTTTGGAGACCAACTCTCATTAAAATACGAACAAATTTTACGGTGATTATGAGTGTCAGGAAATTTCATGGAAATGAAATGATTCTGTCACTTCGTGATTGAATGAAGATCAATTCGAGAGAGAAGTGGTTACAGTGACAAATATATTTAGACTTCCTCTGGTGATAGCGGGTTCATCTAGGAAAGTAGTGGTTTTACGAGGAAAACTAAGAGAATTTTTTTAAGTTAAGAAATTGTCAATAAAAAATTTCTCCTGAGATTTTGTCGTGAAACTACTCATTGCAAAAATAATCTCCACGATATTAATTAATTTAAGAAAGGTCAAGAAATATTGGAGAAATAATTATGATTCATTAAATTAAATTGTCATAGTGCGATGTTTCGTTAAATTATTTCAGCTTGAAGAAAACTTTGGGCGTCAAAATGCGGACGGGTTTTATATACATTTTCTGCCTATTAATTCGTAGAATCGCTATTAGTGACCGCATAATGGCCAAATGAAGGAGTTTTGTCATTAATATATTTGTGCGGTTGAATTTTTGAGAAGAAAAACTAGAAGGAAGTGCTTTATAATTAAGAAAATTCACTTTCATCGTTTCCTCCACAAAAAATTCGTAATCGGGAGAATTTCATCTGTCATCTACTCATGATTTCAATGCAGTATTTCAAATTTATCTCGGGGTTAGTGGATCTAGAAGAAAATTGGTAGAGTAGCTGATTAATTGAATTAAGAAAAAAAATAAAATAAATCCTGAGATTTTTTTCTAAAACCCCTCATTACGAAAACAAAACATTTAGTACAAACAAGGTAAAAATGAATTCTTGTCTGTTTGATCACATGTTACCACTTCATCTCCGAATTATCCTTGAGCTCCAGGATGACCCTTAAATACTTCAAATAACTAGGGAAAAATAATCTAACTCCATGACGCTCATCAATTGGGCTTCTCGTCAGTCTTGAAAACGTGTCTAGACAGCATTCCATAGATCATTCCAATACTGAGACATCCAATGACAGCTCCTTGTGCAGCGACTCGAAGTTGCACGAGAAAAAAGGCTGTTCCCAAATTCTTCGGACGCTGTTTGTACTTGTAGACACCAACTGCCAAAGTTCCAAAGAACCCAGCGATTCCTGGAGGAATAAAAACATTTTCAATGATAATCTGTTGTATGAGTTACTAAAGTTGACGCTTAAATTTTTCCGCTGTCTTACCCACGATGAGAAATGGATTCTGCTTGATCCTGCGCAGAGCCGTTGAGGATCCCGACTCGTCCAGGGTTATCTCTTGGGCAGTCATTGTGGAATTTTTTCAGTTTATTTCAAGTTCTGCTACTCTGAAAAGAGAAATGCGAGGAATGCACATGAAAAATATGGATAAAAAAATCTCGCGGTTTCTCTAAGAAATTGTATTGGAGTTTTATTAACAGTCTGTTGAAAAATGCTATTAGTTTTTTGCCCCTGGCAATAATTGTTTTCAGGTCGATATGAGTCAAAGTATTTTTAAGATTCGTGATAAAAGTTTCTAAGAAAGAATTAAGGATGTTCGACACCTTTTTGGCTGAAATTCACGTTTTTTTTCCTTTTTCTGGCGAATTGTCGATCGGTTTCACGGAAAAAAATATAACGTTTTTGTGTTCTGTCATTATTTAATGGCTCACGCAGTGTCATGGTGGTGGGATCATTTTCCTGCGTTTTTTCTACAGTTTTGTGATTCCTTTTAAACGTTTAGCAAAAATGCACAAAAATGATTGCACCACCTTGCAACTTCGCGAATCATTAAATAATGACAAAATGCAGAAACGTTATATTTTTTCGCGTCAATCCGACCGACAATTCGCGAGAAAAATTAAAAAAACGTGAATTTTGACCGAAAAGGTGTAGAACATCCTTAAGTTAATGCTGTGATGACAATGTTATGAGTTATATGTATTTATTAATATTAAATAAAGAAAATTATTGATAGAGGTTCTATTCAATTACTTGCTGATTTTTTTTAATTCTTTTTTTTAAATGCCTATTTTTTAATTCGATTTTTCACATTGATCGAGGGGGGGGTCTTGATATCGTGACGTAATATGTAAGGGGGGCCTTCCGTTTGTGACGGCCCGTGACGGGGGGAGGGGTCCAAAATACCCAAAAAAAGCGTGACGTAATTGTTGAATGCTCCCTATGTAAAAATGACGCTGTATAGGAATTTAATAAAGATTTCGGCACAGAATTCAATCGAATTTTTATTGGGCCTCTACAAAAATTCTATTAGAGTTCTATTCTTTTTAAAGATTTGAAGGACATGAAAAACAAATTCAAGTTCTCGGGATTTGACTCTCGTTTCCTCAAATCGAGGAATGTGTTAACAATGGTAGATAAAAACTAATTAGAGTTCTATTAATCTTTTACAGTCGACTCCCTCTAACTCCTCACCAAGTGAGACCGAGATATATTTTTGTCCTTGTTCCAATAACGCTACCGGAGGGAGTTCGTGGCTTCCTCTAACCACTCCTTTCCAAGAAGTAGCTTTAAGGTCGAGAAAATGAAGAGTGTTTTTGCAGCAATTCTATTGAACTTACGCAACTTAGTCGTGCGTTCCTCAATAGCTCATAGAAAAAAGTCTATAGATGCGGATTTTCTCATTCAACGTATTTGAGAATTGGTTCAATGGAATAAAATTCGTAAAGAATCCTTTGTAATTGAATCCTATTGACTTTTTCGATTGAAGATTCCAATAGAATCGGCCAAAGGCTAATAGAAAGTTCAATAGAATTGTCTAGCGAAGTCGCTAGTTTTTTCTATTAAATTTTTTAGTGCGTGTGAGGTTTTACTTTTGCGTGTTTTCTGTGAATGAATATTTCGGGCACAGGCATAGGGGGACAGTCACCACAGCTTATTTCTATCAAAAAATAACACGATAAAGTTGCATAATCTTCAACAGAATTGACGAAACAAAAAGAATAAAACTATTTAATTGAATGCGAACAGAACTCCGACAGAATCCTCATAGTAGAATTCTCAATTATATTCGACTCTTATAAAGAATTTAATTGACATTGCACAGAATTGCTCAGAGAAAGCCTTACGGTTTTCTATAAAATCTTATACGTGTGGGAATACCAGTTGTGATTCTCAAGATTGCATCATATGTCCAAATCATCTTCTCTTCGTAAATTCCATTCATAAAATCAATTATTATTATTCTTCTTATCAAAAAATGATACGGTAAAGTTGCATAATCTTCAATAGAACCTTCATGTTTTTGTCTTGAAGGAGCTGAGCACTCGGGTACTCTGTGACCTTGCTGATTAATTACTTTTCTTTATTTATCTCTATCTTACAATTGCTGAAGAATCCTGTACCACATCCTTCCCTGGGTACGGAACATGCGCCATTGTACTTTATACGCAGTGCCTTTCTATTTACTTCTTGGCACATCTACTTATATGTTTGCTATGAACTGATCCATTAATTCTCTATTTTGCAACCCCGTGGGATTCTAGGCTTCATTTTCATTTCATTTTCAAGTTAATAATTTTTACTTCGAACTAAAAGCGCTCCTAATTATTCAATCATAGTTTAATTTGATTATTGAATCGAATCAAGTTATTTTAAATTTTGTATTAAGCTTCTTTTACACGAACTCAGTTTCTTCTCTCACAATCTTATGCTTCTAAATGTAAATAATATTGTACAGTCTCCCCCGAGGAAATGTGGTCAATTTGTACCTCGAAATTTCTTGTAATAAAATGCAATACAATACAAAATAATCTTCAATAGAATTGACGAAAGAAAACGAATAAAATTATTTAATAGAATTCGAAGAGAAGTCTAACAAAATTCTCAATTATATTAAATTCTTATAGAGAATTTAATAGAAAATCCACAGAATTTCGTGGAGAAAGCTTTTGGTTTTTTCACTAAATCTCATCATACGTGTGGGAATACCAGTTGTGATTGTCAAGATTGCATCATGTGTTCCAAATCATCTGCTTTCATTCATAAAATGAATTATTGTTATTCTTTCTACCAAAAAATAACACAATAAAGTTGCATACTCTTCAATAGGATTACCGAAAGAAAAAGAATAAAATTATTCAATAGAATCCGAACAGAACTCCAAGAGAAATCTTAACTACATTAAACTCTTATAGAGAAATTAATAGAAATTCCATAGAATTTCTCAGAGAAAGCCTTCGATTTTTCCACTAAATCTCATCATACGTGTGGGAATACCAGGTGTGATTGTCAAGATTGCATCATGTGTTCCAAATCATCTGCTTTCATTCATAAAATGAATTATTGTTATTCTTTCTACCAAAAAATAACACAATAAAGTTGCCTACTCTTCAATAGGATTACCGAAAGAAAAAGAATAAAATTATTCAATAGAATCCGAACAGAACTCCAAGAGAAATCTTAACTACATTAAACTCTTATAGAGAAATTAATAGAAATTCCATAGAATTTCTCAGAGAAAGCCTTCGATTTTTCCACTAAATCTCATCATACGTGTGGGAATACCAGGTGTGATTGTCAAGATTGCACCATGTGTTCCAAATCATCTGCTTTCATTCATAAAATGAATTATTGTTATTCTTTCTACCAAAAAATAACACAATAAAGTTGCATACTCTTCAATAGGATTACCGAAAGAAAAAGAATAAAATTATTCAATAGAATCCGAACAGAACTCCAAGAGAAATCTTAACTACATTAAACTCTTATAGAGAAATTAATAGAAATTCCATAGAATTTCTCAGAGAAAGCCTTCGATTTTTCCACTAAATCTCATCATACGTGTGGGAATACCAGGTGTGATTGTCAAGATTGCACCATGCGTTCCAAATCATCTGCTTTCATTCATAAAATCAATTACTGTTATTCTTTCTACCAAAAAATGCACAATAAAGTTGCATAATCTTCAATAGAATTACCGAAAGAAAAAAGAATGAAATTATTTAATAGAATCCGAATAAAACTCCAAGAGAATTCCCAATTATATTAAATCCTTACAGAGAATTTAATAGAATTTCCACAGAATTTCTCAGAGAAAGCCTTAGGTTTTTCTATTAGGTAAATCTTATCATACGTCTGGGAATACCAGTGATGATGCTCGAGATTGCATCATATGTTCCAAATCATCTCTTCGTAAAATCCATTCACAAAATGAATTGTTGATACTCGTGACGGTAAATTGATGATGACAATGACGAAGATGATTATTCCCAGGAATGGAATCGCTAATTTCAGAGTCAAAGAGGCCGTTGGCCATGTGAATGTAAATCAAGGTTATGAAGTTATGACTCAGAATATCTGGTTTTTATTCGTCTTCCAACAGAGTGAAAGACCTCGAGAGAATGATGCGTTTTGAGAATAGTTTTAATGATGATTTTACGATGATTTTGAGGAATGTTCATTCATCCTTCATTCGTGCTAAGAATTTAGTGACATCATACATACAAAAATTGTCGAAGCAGGTTGACGAGTGAATTCGGGTAATTCTCACATGTACTCAACACCAGCTGATAACTGTCCTTTGACTTTGACATCAGTCATGCGCCGAATTTCCCCCTTCACTGGCCGCTAGTGACGTTGGTTTGGAACGCGTTACGTTTGCAACTATATAATTTGCGAGCTTGCGTGCCAGAGCTAGCGAGCATTTGTATTACCACGCCGGTGGTTTCTATTGCACTGAACGAACACGGAACGGCTTACAGTTCTCAAAATGCGGGCAGTATTGATGTACCGATGAGGGGACGTAGTCGATTTTTTCCCGGGTTCGATTAGAAAATTTTGATTCGATTTTTTTCTGAGGTGACACGATTATTTTAGGGCATGCGAACTGTTACATGACATTAACATAACAAATCGTTATAAGTCTGAAAATGGACGAAGCCCCTCTTCACCTTTCAAGTCCCTGGCAGTCCCTGGACCTCACGCACGAAAAAATTTGATAGAAAAACCTATCGAATTCGTTAGAAAATTCTATTGAATTTCTATCAAACTTTCTATTAGTTTTCGCTGATTCTATTGACATGTTCAGTAGAAAACATTCAATAGAAAAAGTCAACAGAATCCGATTTTTCTAGAGGAGGTTGGGGTAAAATGGACACTTTTGACTTTTTTTTAGAAGTTAATGAGGGGCTGAAATGGTGATGAAATTTAATAATTTTCCTTTCAATACAAAGAACAATTCTTTCCCTTTGTGACGAGCCGAACCTGAACTCAATTGATAAATTTGTTTCTGAGTTATGAACAATTAAAAAAAAATCTAAAGTGTCCATTTTACCCCACCCTCCCCTATATATAACTTATTCTTTTCATATATTTTCTGTAGAATTTGCTCGACTCAAATTTTCCAAGTTTTTTTCATTCTATTTTTATTTTCTTCTCATCAAGAAAATCAAACGAAAAAACTTGGAAAATTTGAGCCAAGGAAATTCTATAGAAAATATCTCAATAGAATAAGTTATATAGAAAAATTGAATTCTATTGGCTTTTTCTACAGAACAATTTCCATTGCCCATTTCAATAGAATCAGCGAAAAACTAATGAAACGTCCAATAGAAATCCAATAGAATTGTCTAGCGAATTCGCTAGATTTTTCAATGAAATTTTTTCATACGTGTAACATCTCATCACTTGTATCAATTGCACTGTCGATACATGATGATCTAGTACTTTGCATTGATAACGATACTCGTCCGAAATGAGCATACTTATCCATGTACATATAATTACAACATGTGGAAAGGCAGACGCACACTCTCATACGTGATAAGAAATTACGTAAAAACACGCGTGTTGGATACAAAGTTATTCGGCTTCATTGAGTGATCGACTTGCTATTCCCTAGTCACGGAAATGGCGGCTCAAACGTATTTCAAATTTTTTAACTCCGTTGCATTTAGAAATTTCGTGAGTACTCCCAAATTCCCTCGAAACTAAAAATTCACAATTCGGTCGTAATCTATATTTCAGACGCGGTCTCTCAGCAATACGATCAAGGAGCCCAAGTTCATGGGAATAAACACAAGGTTTACAGATATTTTAAAGTTTGTGAATAGTGAAAGCTATGAGTCAATACCAGTTTACAGATTATTATCGTCACCAAAATGTCAAGTATCGCACACTGAAGCGAAGGTATCAACAATTTTTCTGAAAAATTCTTCGATTGAAATCTTCCTGAATTTCCTGTTTGAATTTTTTTTTTTTCATTTAGATTGACAATGACTTGCTATTAAAAATGTACGAATCCATGGTGAGGATACGTACCATGGACAAAATTCTGTATGAATCGCAAAGACAAGGGCGTATATCCTTTTACATGACTAACATGGGTGAAGAAGCTATTCAGATCGGTTCAGCCGCGGGTTTGAAACTTGAAGACATTATTTACGCGCAATACCGAGAAGCTGGTGAGACACAATTAATTTTTGCTTCCGAATGGAAACCCTTATTTAACGGATTTTTCGATTTCTTAATGTGGATTGCAAATGATCTAGAATGTTATGAAACGCAAAGAAATGATGTTATTAGGGTCATGTCTGTGTGTATCTGACAACTTTTTTATTTAGTTTTTGGTAATTCATTTTTAGAAAATTGAACAAATACGAAATATAATACGATGAAGTTTGTAGATAAAAATCTGAAATTTTGACTCATTCCTGAGATATAACAACTTGTTTAAATTTCGTTTTCCCTCAATATCTCAAAAACTACTGCACCGATTTTCTTTTTTCTTTTTTAAAAATACGTACCACGGACAAAATTCTGTATGAATCGCAAAGACAAGGGCGTATATCCTTTTACATGACTAACATGGGTGAAGAAGCTATTCAGATCGGTTCAGCCGCGGGTTTGAAACTTGAAGACATTATTTACGCGCAATACCGAGAAGCTGGTGAGACACAATTAATTTTTGCTTCCGAATGGAAACCCTTATTTAACGGATTTTTCGATTTCTTAATGTGGATTGCAAATGATCTAGAATGTTATGAAACGCAAAGAAATGATGTTATTAGGGTCATGTCTGTGTGTATCTGACAACTTTTTTATTTAGTTTTTGGTAATTCATTTTTAGAAAATTGAACAAATACGAAATATAATACGATGAAGTTTGTAGATAAAAATCTGAAATTTTGACTCATTCCTGAGATATACCAACTTGTTTAAATTTCCTTTTCCCTCAATATCTCAAAAACTACTGCACCGATTTTCTTTTTTCTTTTTTAAAAATACTCGTCTCGATGGCCCGTACCTAGATCAATCAAAATATTTATATGCATCCATACAAAATTTGCGAGATATTGCCGTTGTTTTGCTTTTTCAATTTTTTCATTCTTGTACGCGCGATAACTTGAGAAAAAATGAAGATAGCAAATTGAAATTTGGTATGATTATAGCAACAATACTGACTACAATACTGAAGGTTGGTGTTTTGGATCGGCGAAAAGGGAAAATTGAGAAAATTCTCTATAAAATTTCTCAATTTCAAAATAGAAGTTATCACCAGTTACACAGTCTTTTAAATTTTAAATTATCTGTTAGTCCCACCTCTATGTGGATTCTGTCATACTTGGTGCATGACAAAGATAAATGTTCCAGATGGAAATTCCTCACACTTCACAATTAGTCTCCAAGTTCTTGGAGAAGAGATGCTCTTATTTTTTATTCACCTCTTATTCCATCAGACCAGAAATCATTAGTCCTCTGTTCTCGTCCTTTAGGTGTTCTACTCTGGCGTGGGTACAAATACTCTCAATTCATAAATCAATGCTATGGAAATCACGAAGATCCGGGAAAAGGGAAACAGATGCCGGTGCATTATGGCTCGAAGGAGCTGAATTTCGTGACTATTTCGTCGCCTCTTACCACTCAGCTACCTCAGGGTGTGTGATATATCGATTTTTTTTTAAAGTTTTAGATTGTTTTTTTTATTTACAAGGAGGAGGGAATTTCATAGAAAAACTTCGAGGATTGGCTAGAAAATTCTATTCAATTTCTATTGAACTTCTATTCAAACTAGGTTTTATCAACCATTATTAACACATTCCTCAATTTATCCTGAGCACTTCGATTTTTTTCATTTCGTATACGTCTTTTCAATCATCGAAAAGAATTGAACTTCTATGGAAAATTATTAGTTTTTGGCCTATTGAAAAATTCCACGGGTTTACTGCAGTGATAGAATTCTATTAATTTTTTCTATTTAATTCTTGAATTCTATTAAATGCTATTTAATTTTTTCGATGTAATATTTTCAATTTAATATTTCACTAGAATCCGCCAAAAACTAATAGAAAGCCCAATAAAAATCCACTTGAATTGTCCACGGAATTTTTCTACGAAATTTTTTCATACTCGATGTTTTCGTACGTGTACAAAGGCATTTTCATGTCATGATTCAGCTGTGGGGGCCGCTTATGCCATCAAACGAGCAAAAAAAGATGCCTGTGTTGTCTGTTATTTTGGCGAAGGGGCGGCCAGTGAAGGAGATGCTCATGCAGCTTTCAATTTCGCGGCCACTCTAGACTGTCCCATTATCTTCCTCTGGTGAGTTTATTACCAAAAGCTACACATATGACAAAATTCAATAGAAAACCTAATGAATTTGTTAGAAAATTCTATAGAAATTCTATGGAGTTTCTATAGGATTTCTATTGGAATTCTATTGACAAATTCTATTCGTTCTTTGCGCTGATTCTATTGGATATTCGATAAGAAAAAGTTAATAGATTTCAAATTTTTGTTTGAATTTTTCTCTCGAGATTTCTTCTATAAGAATGCTTGGGCATCTAATTTCTAATTTTTCTAATTTTTTTCCACTCGGATTCGGCAATGCAGAACAAAACAAAATCCAGTGGAAAAAACTTAGAAAATTTATTCCCAATAATTATAATAGAAAAAATCTAAGAGAAAAATCCAAACAGAAATTTGAAATCTATCGACTTTTTCTTATTGAATATCCAATAGAATCAGCGCAGAATACAAATAGAATTTTTCAATAGAAATCCTATAGAAATCCCATAGAATTCCAATAGAATTTTCTAGTGAATTCGCTAGTTTTCTATTAAATTTTTTCATGCGTGTAATCGCATAGTGAAATTTGCTTCTAAAAATAATCGAACGACTTTAAATGGATTATTTAAATGATTTCAACTATTCGATTTCTTATATTTGTCGACCTGAAAGTGTAACTTTAAAATTCATTATTTTCAATATTGATTTATTCGCAGTCGAAATAATGGATACGCCATTTCCACCCCTTCACTGGAGCAGTGCAGAGGTGACGGAATAGCAGCCAGAGGTCCAGCCTACGGTATCAATACAATTAGAGTCGATGGTAATGATGTGATTGCAATGCATCATGTCACTCGAGTGGCCCGAGATTTTTGCATAAAAGAGGGGAAGCCAGTGCTTATCGAAGCTATGAGCTACAGGTAACCATTAGTTTTTTCTAACATTCATCAATAGTCCACTCCTTGAAGGCAACTAATAAATACATAAAAATCCTAAATGGCTGTAACCCTGCTACAGTCGTCAAACTTGACGTGAACACGTACATATTATCCATATTTGAATAGTCGTCATCGAGGAATAGTTTTAAGAATTCAACTTGTGATTGTAAATTTCATTTTGTTATGTAAATTTGGCGAGAGAAATATGAAAAGAAAATTGCCTTCGATCCCCCGAAAATAGAAATTACTGTAGAAGAATTCATAACATATCCCTCGGGAATTGTTTATTTCTCTAATAAATAAAATTGTAATATTTGGAGATGGACTTGGACCACCTGAGAATGACTAAAAAAAATGAAATCTCCCAAGAAAATCATTCCTTGACAAAAGTATTTTTTTTTCTTAGCGAAGCGAAGAGAAGTAGATGATTCACTTTAATCTTTCTCAACAATATTCAAATGAGCTGTATTATATATATGTATACATATATAAATATGTATAAAATATATGTAAAATATATGTATATTTTATCTACTCCAGACTGGGTCACCACAGCACGTCTGATGATAGTACAACTTATCGTGCAAAGGGTGAGATTGATGACTGGACTAAAGAGTCACCAATTGTGAAACTTCGTCAGTATCTCGAGAATCTTCAGCTCTGGGATGATGAGAGGAATAAAGAACTCGAGGCCTCAGTGAGGCAAGAATTTTTGAGGGAATTCGAAGAAGCTGAGAAGAAACTCAAGCTCAATTGGAGGGAAGCGTTCACTGATGTTTATCAGGATATGCCACATCATATCAAGTATGTCCCAAATATCAATTGGTCAACAATATTTTCTCTTCAGTTTTGTCGTTAATTCTTGTTTTTATTTTCTCATTTTAGGAAACAAATGATTTCGATGGAGCGTCATCTGAAGGAGTACCAAGAGCACTATCCTCTGAAAGAATTCCAAGCCTCGTGATTCATCATTCGTACCTTTATTTTCTTACAAATAAATCTAGGAAATTCAATCGTTAGGAGATAATTCTCGAGAAGGTAACATTTCATGCATCCTTTTTCGTGAGATTTTCTGCCATTTCTTGATACTTCTGCAGCCTCATTTCTTTTCTGGCTTCGTCCAATAGCACATTGTGGAGGAGCTTCTTCTCGAATGGATTGGGCTGTTCCAAGCCAGGATATGGATTTTCTACAATGGGAATATCACAATACTATTTTGAAAATGTAATTGTGAACATTTATTGTTTGAGATTTATTGCATCACTCGCTTATTATTATTTTATTTTTCACGTGCAAAAAAATTCAATAGAAAAATCCAGAATTCCCTAGGAAATTCTATTGGATTTCTATTGAACCTTCTATTCATTTTTGGCTGATTTTATGGGCATGTTCGGCAGCTATGTTCAATGGTAAATATTCTGTAGGCCAAATCAACAGAATTCAATTTCTGTGTAAATTTTAATCTGTTGAGAAGTCTTTAAAATTTATTTTGAGTGAAAAAGAATGAAAGATAGAGTGAAAAAACTTGGAAAATTCATGTCGAGGAATTCTTATAGATGTCTCAACAGAAAAATTTGTATAGAAAGATGAAATTTTAGTAATTGTTTTCATAAAATAGTTTTTATTGAATATTCTCTACTCAAACAGCGCAATAAAGTTGCGGAATTCTTCAATAGAATCGGCCGAAAACTAATGGAATTTTCAGTAGAAGTCCAATCGGAATCTGATAGAATTGTCCAGCGAGTCCGCTACATTTTCTATTAATTTTTTTCGGGCGTGGAAACCGTTCCGAATGGAAAAATAGTAGTGTTCATAAAATAGTTTTCATTCGACATTTTCTATAAAAAAGCACAATAAAGCGGCCCAATTCAATAGAATTGGTCAAAAACTAATAGAATTTTCAAAAAAGTTTCAATAGAAATCAATAGAATTTTCTATCGACTTCACTAGCTTTTTCAATTAATTTTTTCGTGTTTTTCTGCACAATATTGGAATGTAAAACCAGCCTGCAAAAAGTGTAAAATCTTTGTAGTCGGAAATGAAATTCACAAATTCAATTGTAATGATTAACACCGATAAATGAAAAAATATATTTTGAAAAAATCAATTGATAAATTTTAATTTTTAACGAACCTCTCAACTCCAAAACAGCCTTGCGGTGCATAAACCCAGGATAATCCCTCTGTATTTTGTGTAATTTTGTGTACGAAGTGGTGTAATCTTGATACCGTGGAGCAAGGACTTTGAAAAGCTTGTGCACGAGTTGTTTCTCGAGGATGTAAAAATCAGCTAGCTCCATTGTCTCCTTGTGTGCGGGGCCATGCCGAATAGCCTCAGAAATCAACTATCCCCCAAATTAAATGTCACCACGTTAATTAATTAATTTCCAGTGATAAATCATTTCGAAAATAGAACTCACTCGATCGACATAACCTCGAACCTCATCCGCACGGTTCCAATACAGCTCAATTCTCTCATATTTCAACAATGCAGTCAACGTTTTCTGAATCTTACGAATTCTCCCTTCCAGCCCATCTTTATTTCTCAAAGTCCTGTACTTCGGTTGAATATTAAATCTCAATTTTGACACTAAATTATTTACATTCGCCTGATTCATTTTGCTATGTATTCGGAATCTCTAACCTCTCACAACACGAATGACCATTCGTCGGTATGAAGATCTGAATCCCTCACTGCAATTCAAATCTGATGAGTGATAAGACAAATGAATTATTTTTCCCTCCGAATGGAAGCTTCGTAATTACTCGATTTTACTGTTCTCTAATTTTCTAATTCTCTAATAATGGTGGGGGAATAGGAACCGAAGGCTACAATCTCTCTAGTAGTGTCGGTGCGGTCCCACGCACGAAAAAATTTAATAGAAAAATCTATCGAACTCGTTGGCAAATTCTGTTGAATTTCTATTAAACTTTCTATTAGTTTTTGGCCGATTCTATTGAATGTTCAATAGAAAATATTCAGTAGAAAAAGTCAATGCAATTCAATTTTTCTATATAACTTATCCTTTTCATATATTTTCTACAAAATTTGCTCGACTCAAATTTTCTAAGTTTTTTTCATTCTATTTTTCTCTTCTTCTCATCAAGAAAATCAAACGAAAAAACATAGAAAATTTGGGCCGACAAAATTCTATAGAAAATATCTCAATAGAATAAGGTATATAGAAAAATTGAATTGCATTGACTTTTTCTACTGAATATTTTCTATTGAACATTCAATAGAATCGGCCAAAAACTAATAGAACAGTTCAATAGAAATTCAATAGAATTTTCTAACGAATTCGATAGGTTTTTCTATTAAATTTTTTCGTCTGTGCCCGGCCGCAAGACCAGGCAGCACCAGCCAGTACCAGGGGAGCGATTTTGCTCGTTGTCGACATAAAATCGTAAATTTCAACCAATGATAGTCCTGGATTCGGAATACTCAACTAGGATTGGTTGAAATTTATGATTTTATGTCGACACTAGGGGGCTACGCCCCCTGCTCGCTCCACT